TACAAACTCATGCGCACACAGTATTCCTTTGCCTGTATGTATTTATGTGTGAAAAGCTTTGCATTAAATTAAAATCCTTACACAAACAAGTGCGCCCATGCAGAGTCATGCAAATGCATATATACCTAAAAGTAGAACATACATATAAACACTCGCGTTAGTTTGCATACAAGAATTTACAGGCAGGCAAGCTTGCACACACTTGCCGCCGTGTGGCTCTGTTCATTTCCAAAGTTTCGCAGATGCCAAAAGTTGTGAAGCTAATAAAAAGTGTGTCGCTTTAATAATAACGAAAATCAAATGACAGCAAAGCTAACAAGTTAAGAGAGAGTGAAAGTGAAATACGTAATCAGTTAAGAAAAGGAATTTAGGTTGTTCGTCACAAATCAAATTAGGCCTCAGCCTCGAGCAAAGGAAGCAAGCGCAGTGGAACAGAATTAAACCGAAAGCTAAATTAAATATTTTATTTTGTAACAAATTGTCAGTGGAACTGCTTACACAGTAATAAAGTGGGAGTATTTGTTTGAAAGCTGCAGGTTTTCGTTCTTAATATCAGGAAGATCGTAGTCTTTTATAATAAATTATAGTTTTCGAAAAATTTAATTTTTGTATTCAATATTGTTGCCGGCAATATATTTATAAAGGGGCAAATCGAGTGTGAATTTTTTAAATATAGGTATTTGTACCCTGACCAGATTATGTTAAGTTTGCCACGAAGTTTGTAACATTCGGAAGGATGCGTCAGAGACCCTATAAAATACAAGGTGCGTTCCAAAGTAAGCAGTACAAAAGTAACAACGTAAACTTTAGTGGCGCCATCTGTATGTCGACCAGTGCGTTAGAATCTGCTATCCTTTATCGACTTCCAGTAAAAATTTCATGACATTTCATCTATTGGAAGTGAAGTTATCGCGTTTTAAGTGTCAGTATGTTTTTGTGATCAGTGCGAAAATGAGCTTCGAACAAAGAGCCAACATTAAATTTTGTTTTAAAACGTTTCAATTGATGAAACAAGTTTATGGCGATGATTGCCTATCCCGTAGCAGAGTGCACGAGTGGTTTCAACTCAAGGTGGTCGTGAGGACATAAATGAGAAATGAGCCGAAACCCAAAAAATCGCTCCTGGAGAAGTCAAAAGTGAAGACAATGCTGATTTGATTTTATGATTCCAAGGGTATTGTCCACAAAGAATTTGTTCCACCTGGCCAAAACGTTAATGTGGTATTCTACCTTGGTTGACGTTTGTTGCACGATTATGCGCCGTCTCATCGATCTACGGTTGTGGCCGATTATTTGACCAAAAATTACATTTTAACCATCAACCACTCCCCGTATTCACCTGATATGACACCGTGCGACTTCTACCTTTTCGGAAAAATGCATTTGACGATGAAAGGAAAGCGTTATGCAGACGTGGAGGCTGTTCAAAAGGCTTGCACCGGCATACTGGCGACCATACCGGGCAACGAGCTAGAACACTTGTTCGACATGCTTTTGGACCGTGAAAAAAGCTGTATTAAAGCAGAAGGAGACTATTTTGAATAAAATTAATTAATTTTGCCGATAAAACCATGGGTTCGGTCTTTTTTTTTAAAAGTCCTGTTTACTTTGGAACGCTCCTTGTATATATATAGGTATGTATATATGATTAGCATGGCGAACTGATTTGATTGAGCCATGTCCGTCTGTATATAGCCGAACTATTCCCTCATTTTGTGATATACCGTTATGAAATTTCGAACAGGTTCTTTTGTCCTCTACAACCGCCGATATCGAAGTACTACAGCATATAGCTGCCATACAATCTAAACGATCGGAATCAAGTGCTTGCATGGAAGACTTTTACCTTTGACGAGATTTCTTCACAATATTTGGCATAGATTATTTTCTGCGGCAATAATGCAATCTCCGAAGAAATGGTTCAGATCGGAATCAAGTTCTGATAAGTAACCTTTTGTATGTGTGAAGGGTATTCTTTTTTTTTTATTTTAATGGGTTGCATCTTAAAAAGTAAGATATTAGAATTGAAATTGATATCTCAAATAGTTTTTGAGTTATATATATATATATATAGTTTTACACGAATTTATCTGAAACTACATTTTTTTCGTTTTCTTACTCGTATTGAATGATCCGATCATTATCAAATATTTCTGTTCGATTTTTTTATAGTTCTCCGTACAAATGGCTATCAGTTTTACTATCTTGTCAAAAATTGGATTTCGACTAGTCAATATCTACCAAAATTTTGGGTAAAATTCAACTTTTCTTAAAAACACCGCTATTTTGTAAAATTTTTGATTTTTGTCGACCGTCATTGTATGTACAATATCCTCTAGAGGAGAGTGAGGGCCTCTTTTTTAGCGGCCGTCGGAGCTGGCGTGGGACTCAAAAAATATTTAATAATGTCTCACTAGAAATGCCCTTTAAAGCGATCTTACTACTTTTAGATATAATTTCAGTACGATTATTTATTGTTTCGAAACCTTTTTATTGGCACTAAATTTCAAGCGCACATTGTCCATTTGGGCAGAGACAATTCGCTGGAAGTCATATCAAAAAAATATGAAGAATTAGGAATCGGTCGAAACCATATAAATTTCCAGCGTGTTTATTGCCTTGATATATATTTTTTAATTGGAAATTCTTCAATATAAACTGCTTTAAAATTATACCACAATTGTAAAATAAAACGGGTTTCCTTTGATAAAAAAAGGTATTATTATTGCAATACATGCACATCTCTAAATATATGCACGATGACTTTGATTAGATGATCCCTCGCTTCGGATACAGCTCATCGTCTCACATCCATTCGAATAGCCGTCAATTAATTTTATAATGAATTAATTAGGAGATTTTTTTTCCATTCTCAGATATCGACGAGAAATTATGACCTTGTAACGAGTGAATAAGTCCGAAAACTGCTCATTATCATAAATTATTTGTTCTTTTGGTCAATGGTGAGCTTAGTCTTCTCGGCTAGCGCTTTTCGATCTGCTTTACTATTAGTTTGGTGATCATTTAGCACGAAGGAATTTAGTGAACCATCTAAGAATGAATAATTTTTCAAGCACGGAACCCATAAAACGGGTATCTCTCATAATACTGCCAATGTAGCTACGATTTTTTTATTCAATAATTTTATAGAGGTTTACTGTAGTTATAATATTATAAAACCATTCACTTGGAGAGCATTAACTCTACCATTATTTTGCTATATGAAATACAATATTTCTAGCATTGGCAGAAGGTTCTTTAGAAAAAGATCGAATTAGCGTATTCATCTGACTATATATGCTGATTGTGCTCACAAATACCTTCCGAAAACTTAAATATGTTTAGTTTCCATAAGTTTCGATGTCGGTTTTTGTCTTCATTGATCGAAATCGAATACTTACGATTGCCGTCGATCTCCGTATGCGAGGTAAAGTCATCCCACACGATATATACATACTTGTATATGTTATATTTATATATTATTGGACTGTAAATTGTATGGTAAACCAAAACAAAAGCCATATGAGTTGATAATACATACAAAATAGAAATCATATTGAAGAAAGGTACATACATATATGTAAGCAATTGATACTCTTCTAAATTTCTTCGCAAACACAGGTCTGTTCTCAATTGAGCCTGTGTACAATAGGTCACTTTAGAAATTATGGAATACATGATTATAATAATAAATAATAAATTATTTAAATATTATTTAAATATATTCGGTGTAATAACACTAAATGAAAAGGATGAAGATTTAAAATATTCAATTCAAGTTCAAATGAAGAAAAAATATAGTTTGTAAAAGGGACTCATGAAATTAAATTTATATACATATGTACTATTCATATTTGGATTTCAATTACAAAGAAGTTTTATAGGATTTAACTTCAAGTATATTAGCATATTTCCCTTAAGCCTTCAACGATATACAACTTCTTCTAAACATTTTATATATGACTAGCGTAAATACGTAAATACAAAAAGTAAGATGCAATTTTGATTTAAAACTCTCGGGCATCAGAAGCTTCTGTTTGTCAAAAGGTCTATTGTATTATCTACGAGTTAAATGTGTTTCTACAAACAACCAAAAGTGAATTTTTCGATTTTTACAATGGTTGATTTTGTTGAGGAAGGTACTTGCATCAAATTTTGTTTGCGAAACAAATATTTTGTGCGGACATGTTGAAAATATGGCGGAAGGCTTTTGGTAATTAAATTAAGACGTTTATACCTAAGTGGTGCAACGAGTTCAAAGCGGGCCGCGATTGCGTTAACGACGAACCATACTCTAAACGACCATCAACCTCTGCCGACGAGGCCTACGTCCAAAAGAGGCCTACGAAAAAAATAAGATCTTCGATTGACAATTGGAGACCTACCCTATAGGTGTTGACCATTTGGCTCAGCACCAACCATTTTGAAAAAATTTTTTTGTCTCAAACGCGTTAAGTCTTGATTGGTGTCAAAACCACAATATGCACTATGTCATACTACATTGATTCTTCGCGACTTGTTTGCCTAAAATTGGACTCATATCGTTCTGTAACCAACGTATTCGCCTGACTTGGCTCGTGTGATGTCTGGCTATTCAGCAAACCAATTCGGAGACGCCTTTTTATCGTACGAGGACTACTTTAAAGGAGACGAAATTGATTAAGAAGAATAAATAAAGAATTTACATATTATAAACAAAATCACCTTACCTCTTGATCACAGTAGTACTTATGTAATTTTTTTTTAAATTTTCAGTTTTTTGTTTGCCACTATTTACACATCCGCTCAGCACTCAGCCACCATTACAAGAACTGGAAAACTATTTTTGAGTGTTGTAGCTTTTTACTTGTATACTTATATTCTTGAAAGCCGCTTTCTGAAATATTATTTGCATAAAATATAAGACTTTAGCAACGAAAACTGCATTTTTTCTCTTTTCACGCTATTACCTGTTTCCACGTCGCTGCTTCCTGTCTCTTTTCCACCATGTGTTTCAACAGATGAGTGTCATTTTCAGCTACATTGGAGTAAGCATCGTACTGTTCTTTGTTTCCCGCTTCTCACCGTACGAGTGGCGCATTGTGCAGTATCAGGCAGGTAAGTGGTGCATAATATTCGTAAACGGATTTGTCAAAAATTTAAATAGTGTACAATAGACGTGAAAACCATATTGAAGACAGAAACAAAATATATAATAAACACGCATACAAAATCAGAAGGAAAACTTAAAAACAACATTTGAAGAAATTTTCTGATTTTTTTTTTTAAGCTTTGCTAAACACTCAAACAGTCGAAAAACTGTAAATGTAAATACTCTTTTACCGAACACTAAATTAATTAAAATCCTAAAATTTAAATATTCCCTATAATAAGCTTAATACTTCACTTAAATTTCCCAAAATTCATTTAATACACCCACTTTTACCGTTTGCCAATCAATTCCTCTTTCAAGCTGTCCTTTGATTTTACCGCACCAGAGCACTCAAAGTGCTCCTAGCAGCATGTTCACACACATACATATATGTTATATATGTGCTGTCAATTCGATTGGCAATTTAGTAGCAATCCTGGCCACAAATCACAAATCCTTTCAATTAGGATGCGTTCATTTAATTCACTCGTTCTAATCTTGCTCCACATCAAAGTCACAAATTACAGTGACATGCCACGTTGGGTGGCGGACAGTCAAGGAGTCATTGAAATTGTAACATTACCAACACATGTATAACATATATATGTATATGTGTATGTGTACAAACCTCTCGTCATGCAAATATCAACGAGTTGCCTAACTTCCATAATAGTTCCATGTTACTGTGGGACCGAAAGCTACAGCAGCACAACTGCACATCTATTAGACGACGGCTGCGCCTTAATTTAATTGCTAAAAGCTTGTGCATATTCATGTGAAAGTCTGTGTGTTCATATGTGTAGAGACGAATTTCAACGTCAAACATATAAAAATAGCCAACCAAAATAACTATGCTGCTAACGGAATTTCGGAATAACGGAATTCGACACATAGCTGCACATATTCATATGTGTATTTGGTGTAGCAGCAAGGCGACAGCCTCTGCATTCACTCAACAGCCGCATCCGTCACAAATAATATGTGTACATATGTACAAATAGGTCCTCTAGGAAAGCTCACTGTTTATGGTCGGCATATTTAAAAAATTATTAATATTAAATTACTTCTCGATAGTTATGTTTCGTTTCATTTCTATAGACAAGTTTCTTGCAATCTTTAGTTTGTTGATGAGTTTCCCGTTAAAGAGTTAAGAAGGCATGGAATGAGCAAAAAAGCTTCGATATCAATACACAGTTTAGTTATGAGCTCCACTGTTGTCCGGATTATGTTAAAAACTGCGGTCTTCTATTCACCAGACGTTGGAGAGTAGGAAATCGAAGAAATTATACCTATCAAACAAACGACAACGCTTGCGCTTACCACATATGTTCTCTAATGTGTGAGCATTTACTTGTATGTTACGGCCTCACCTTTTACTTTTCGCGAGAAAAAAAATTTAGTAATCTCTTAATTTTGAGATTAAAGTTTTCTATAAAAAAGTCAAGTATTTCTTTGAGGTAATGTGTTAAGTGAAGAAATACATGCTTGGCGTAGTCTTTTAAACTCGGCTAATGTTCTTTAACTTATTGGGAAAGAAAAATATAAACCAACCAGCCTTTGTTCTGCATTAATTTCTTGCTCATATTATTTTAATTGGCTGTAAATTTCTCGCAAAACTGAATCCAAAGAGTGTCTGATTTAAAGATAGTCAAAATTGAGTGAACTTATCTTCTCACTTGATTTGTTGTAGAATATTAATGTCAATCATTCGAGTTTATTTCTGCTCGGAGGTTCTTTAGTCTTAAATCTATTTGCTCTTCAGAAACTGATAAGCCTAAAGCAAAATTGTTGTTTCAAACGATCAAAGTAGCTCAAGCTTCGAAAGTTTGACGCAAAAATACACACATGAAGCTCAACAGTAACGAAACTTGCAAGCCGACACATTCCCAACAGGACTGTGAGCCTGTGAAACGGAGGCATGTAAATATTTGTTATGTGTTTGGGGCTTAGTAGATAAAAACTAAAAGCAGAATACCAGCATGCCCCAGAGCGGCATAGCAGCCAAAAAAGAGGAAAACATCATGTGAGAGCACCCAAAAAAGAATAGCAGATAAAGAATGATGATATGAAATAAATGGTGAAAATTCCAGCAGATATAAAAGCGAAGTGAATGTGTGGCAGCCAACATTCCTTGGCACATGTGGCATTCAGCGCACGTAGGCTTCCGAGTAGACTTGGTATGTGCCATGTGCCTGGCAGCGCCTGACTTTATGCGGCATTCAAAGTGCGATATGCGGCATTCACAGGCGTCCAATTTAATAGTTGTAGACGGCCTTTTCGTTAGCACTTGCACAACTTTCGCATACATATCTACAGACACACATATGTACGAGTATAATCAATGAAGCAGACACAATGACCAAAACAGGCACACACACACACACGTAGTATAATAAACAATGTGAATGAACGCCTGTCATTTTCAAGTTGTATGCAAATATCTACAATCTACTGATAATGCCGGCATGCCCCAAACACACAGGCAGACTCAAAAACACATACAAACACATATATACATGCATTCACACATTTGTGACTCCTTTGATATATGGTATCTGTATGGCGCATAACTACATACAAAGTTGCTTTATCATTCCATCATTCTCTATTATTACTTGCCCACATCTTGTCATACTTTAGGTTTTCTCTTTTCCGGCAGATTCGCATGCACATCACGATCAAATGGCTAATCAACAGCCACCTGGCATCATTGGCGGTGTACCTGTGCCCGGTCCAATGACGGGTGCGACCAGTGCCACGGCCAGCCCGGCAAATATTGGTGTAGTCAGTACTGGTGGTGTGGCCGGAAGCGTTGGCCTCGGCTCATCCGGCAATGTAGCGGTCAACGAGTTTAGCATTTTGAATTCATTTTGGTTTGCCTTGGCCGCTTTTATGCAACAGGGCTGCGACATATCACCGCGTTCCATCTCCGGTCGCATAGTTGGCGCCGCTTGGTGGTTTTTCACGCTCATTCTAATTTCATCGTATACAGCCAATTTGGCAGCATTTCTCACCGTCGAGCGGATGGTGACACCAATCAATTCACCCGAAGACTTAGCTATGCAAACGGAAGTGCAGTATGGTACACTCTTACATGGCTCCACCTGGGACTTTTTCCGGGTAAGTACAATGCAATGCATGGTTAGACATACCAAATTTGCCTACGCATGTTATGCATGCCATCTGCATGTAGGCAACAGTTGTAGATGTCAAGGTTCATGTGTACTCTGATGACGTTGTTGAGAAACTCGACATTTCTTTTACTCGCAAGATTCGAAAATCCCAAAATCGATATATCTTGAAATTGTATGAAAAGTATTTTGGATAATATTAGCGTTTTCTAGTATTTGTTTATTAAATTTATATAAATAAGTGAGTTATAGTAATAATTAACGCATATTAAACAGATTTGCACGAATAAATACTAGATCGGTTTATATATTTTTGAAATTTTTGACAACAACAACTTTTCACTGCCACTATTTAACATCCGAGAGAATTAGTTGAAGGTTGTGATGTAGACATTACAACTAAAGTGACTTAGGATCCAATCAAAATATATCAGAAAGATATTTCACAATGCAATAGTGTATAAGAGAAAACTGAATTCTTGAGATTTTATTACAATCAGTTTGAATCATTGTAAAACAAATGAAAGCAATAAGCTGAAATATAAACAAAAATTAATGAGAAAAGAAAAGACTTTTCAGGTACCGTAAAATCAAAGAAGAAAATTGATTTGATACTCAATTAGCAACGGTAGCGTTGAGAAATTAGTATTCGTAGAACATATGCTCAAACTCTTCTTTCACTCACTTTTCTTCTTTTAAATCCAATGCAATAAGGCAGCCTAGCAACGCTCCTTGCAATCAGAGCGCACTCAAGCAATAAATGTTCCGGTGCTTCCAACACATGGTCGCAGAATCAATAATTTTTCATCAACCAAGTGTTCGTTTTGTGCATGTAACATCTCAATCTGCACAGGCCAGCGTACATCGCTACAAAAAATCCAAATTACTAAGTCCTCCGAATTTTTCCTCTTTTCGGTACATTTCTGAAATAAGATGAAAAACCTCTGCAAAAATGAAATATGGTGGCCACCGCCTTTTTAGGCTTTTCTGTGCACTCCAGTATTATTTCTGAATTTAACTATCAGTAAGTATGAGTTACGCTCCTTGTAATAGTTATTTTGTGACAAATCTGCACACCTTCTTTATGGAAAGAAGCCAGCTTGAAATAGTTTCGACAAACTGCGCTAGTAAAATAAAAGCTTGATTCTAGATCTTACAATCCTACCAATTCCGTCTGCTGCTCCCGAGCTATCGCCTAACCTATTGGAAGCAACGGTATCTCCTTGCAGGTGAAGGCATGCCGTTTTTTCTTACCATATTTCCTACTGGTCATATACTCGAATTGATACGTTTAAAAATATATAAAATCTCCTCCGAAGAGGTAGTTGGTTCAAGTCATATTGTCTGATACATATGTAAACCTTTGCAGTTTGGTTAACTGTTTTCAGACAGATGTAAGGGAGATTCTCGAGACCCAAGTTACTCCAGCATAGTTGTGTTATTGTATACATATGCATATCACAATATACTTATCTTATAGATTTAAGATTTATCTGCTAGTCATTTACACGCCATAGCAACTGTGGTAGCTTCCTTTGAGTAGTGTTGAGCCTAAAATTAAGCCTCTGTAATTTACCTTTAGTGAGAGACAAAAAATTGTTTGTGCATTTTGTCATAAGAATATAAGATTATATCAGCGATAAGATTAGTCAGCTCAGAATAGAAAGCCTTCGGTCTCCATCTTTGTAGTTTTAGACATATGTATGTTTGTATGCCTGACTATTGGAGCATACAGAACGAAATTAAATATTAACTATGTGATTAGTAGTAGAATTAGTTTAATTTGCCCTTTATATGTATAGCTCTAGCCAAAATCACATATTATTATATATTAAAATAAACAATTTTAGATGGAGGTTCTACGAACAATTTTCGTTGTGCAATAAAAAAAACTTTATTGAATGAGAGCTGTTTTTTTTAGATCATGAAAAGATACACCACAAATTTTGGTTGCAACACTTAAATTTCACTAATAAAAATATTTGGCTAATAGTATTTTTAATTACTCTTCATTACCATAGCAGCCAACTCTTAAATTCCAAATTACACTAAATATGGCGTGCCAAATTTTTTTAAAAATATATATATTATTCTGCTGGAAAAAGGACTTGTGCAAAATTTCACATCGATATCTGGAAAACTGCGGGACTAGTTCGCTATATATAATATATTGTACTATGCAGATAGACGGACATACCGACTGACATTGCTAAATCGACTCAGCTCGTCACACTGATCATTTACATTTTCTTATATTAGAGAGTCTCCGACGTTTTCTTTTGCGTATTCTAAACTTCATGATAAACGTAGCATAAAAAAATATATATAATGTGCAAATCATATAATTTAATAAGATACAACTTTTTCGCTCATAACTATTGAATATCCTTTGGAGGTTTGCAATACTAATTATATAATCTATAAGACTAGAAATTACAATCTATATCAATCTTTATTGGCTGAACATTTTGTTAAACACTTCTTACTGATTTATTTCAACAACTTTAACATTTCAAAATTGAACACTCATTTAATCTCTGCGTTAGAATTTGGTGAAAACAAGAGACTAATATTATCTAATAATAGACACTATAATTTAAAACAACTGAGTCTTTACACGTCTTAATCTGAATCCAGAATTATAAAACAGATTCCGTATAATGCCATTGCATCAAATGAATAATTCCCCATCCAAGATCAAAACTCGCCAAAGTATCAGAATCTGTAATAATCTTTTCCGCCAAAAGCAGCATATCAACTTTCTATTGGGTTAATAGGTTTTCAATGTAGATGGTCTCTATTTTATCAAAATAGACAATTGGACAATAAATAGGGAAGAGCTAAATTCGGTTGCAACTGAACATTTCATACTCTCGCAACTTGCAAGGATCAAAGCCTGGGAAAACCTTCAGGTGTTGACGAAACTTTATATTAAACTAAGGAAAGTATCGATGTGATTTCGTCCATTTAAGGCAAGAGGATACACTGTTTTTAGAAAGAGATTATTTCTGAATTTCATTAATATTTCTTACATATTGGCCGATAGATGCGGTATAACTAAAGCGGTAGCTCGAAAATATTGATTTTAGGTATATGGGGAATAAGAAAATTGTTCAGTTATATTTCGATTTTGACAATTTTTGAACGTAAGATGACATACCTTCAGGACACTAATTGTGCAAGTTTTATTTTGATAACTTTATTGATATTTGATTTGTATACCGTAAAGTGATAGAATCAGATGGAATTTAAAAGTTTGTTATAAGGAAAGTAGGCGTGGTTGTCATCCGATCTCGACCATTTGGACAATGCCTACTTGGTTAATCTCACTCACCGAATTTGGTTGAAATCGGTCAAGTAGTTCCTGAGGTAGCTATAGGATTTCAGCTAAAGGTGGGCGGTGCCACGTCCATTGTGAAATTTTTACGACTGTTACTATAAAACCCTTTCTTACTATTACGGTTGTGAAATTTCATGCTTGTGGCGCATTTAATAATATATAATTATGTGAACAAAACTCGTATACTCTTTAGCAACATATTGTAGGAGTATAAAAAGGCACTAAACGTGTACTTGGTTCTGAGCCCTATCTTTAGCGTTTTAATGTTTGAAAATCACTAAATCTAGTGCTAAAAGCATTAATTCGGCAGATATGTTAGTTGGGTAAACTTTCAACATTCAATGGAAATAAAGACTCCTCACAACCAAGTATTTATATGTATTTACACGAGTATTATTGCAAATTAAACTTTTAATGTTTAATGTAATTGACTGTTGATTGAAGCCGAGCTCGAATAACCTTTAAATTCATTAAATTATTTTCCGAAATTTCAACCTTTAAAACTCTAAATACGTACATAAACGTATACCTATTATAGGTATATGTAAGTTTATCTCATGCTTTTCCTACAAATGCGCACTGAAATGCATTAAGAGCTTATGCAAGCCCTGAATACATACTCACACGTCCATTAATGGACATTTCACGATATACGCATATATATGCATACCAGTATGAGCACAAATATATATGTATGTACACATGCAGTGCTTGTAAAATTTAATTTGATAGATGTGTGTACACATTCGACCGGTTTTTGCTACACTTGGCTTTGATATTTCGACATATTTGAGCAATTTGTGATGTGATTTCGCCACGTGGGTCATGTTTTTCTTTCGAATCTGCTTACACATGATAACATTACGCCCTGTATGTATGTTACATGCGATGAGGTGGCTTGTATTTTCATGGTAACTGAGTTTTTAATGAATAAAAATTCAAATATCTGCTCAAGTTGTCAAACATTTTCAGCCCAGTCAATCTTGCAGCTATTCACTTTGGAAAATCCTGTAATAAAATTTTTCTTTGATTGATTTACGCTGTCATGGGGTGTAATTGCCTGAAATCAATATCGGTGCGAACAAAAAATATGGAATATAAAACTCGCCGAAAGTGAGCTGCGCCACGCTGTCAGTACAAGTGACAATGCCAGACAAGCCCAGTTCGATAGACAGGCAGTGGTGAGTGAATTCGAACGGCCCACGCGGGTAGGATCCATTTATAGAAGAAGTGTACTCATATCGGTAATTTTTGAATGTGGGATGAAAGTTTAGTTGCAGATATTGGGGCATCGAAGTATTGATACAAATATACATATATATGTAGGTAAAAATTAATGAATGGCAGAAGTGGTTCTTAACAATTCGATGAGAGATTCGATTGTGCAATATTTGAACGAAATCACAAAGCAACATGGGGGTATATTGAATTCTTAGAATTTGCAGACATGGGGGTATATTGAATTCTTAGAATTTGCAGATCAGAACAAAGTATGCGAAGTTGAAATAACTTTTCAAGTGAAGCTAAACTTTTTTTCATGAATCATTCTTCGAACCATTAGGGTTCAAATATTATACTATACTCCTTTTGTCGAACGGAAGCTATAATTCGTGAAGATACTTTGTCAAATAAAAAAGTTTTCGATACAAGAACTGGATTTTGATATTGGATATTAGCGAATCTGACAAATAAGCAGCTTTTTCGGGAGAAAAAGACGTGTGCCACACATCAAAACAACATTTCCAAAACCGGGAGAGAGGCTCGAGTATATACAGACTGACGTATGGATAGACAGATAGACGGCAAAGGCTAGATCGACTCAGCTCGTCATCCTGATCAATTATACATATATATACTTTATAGAATCTATAATGTTTTCTTCAGGGTTTTACAAAGTTCGTGGCAAACTCAATATATATACCTTATTCAAGATATTCTGCTATAATGAAAAAAATTAAACTTGCTGTGCATCATCGCGTTCTTCGACTATCCTCTTAAAGACTCCGTCTCAACTAAGCTTTAAGCAGACTTACCATATACGAGCCAATACAAAAGAAGATTACTACTTATGGCAGTGTATGCGGTTATCAACGCAGATAAAAAAATTTTGCAATTGCAGTGATGCTCTTGGTTACAGTTGCAGTAGTAGACTGTCAAAAATAATTGCACAGCACGTCATTCAGTAGTCAACAGCTTTTTGCTGCAACTCGTCAGAGCAATGACGTTACATAGAATTATATTTCTTTTCTGGCAATAAGGCAGTGCAAAAGCATCAATACAATGTGCATTCGTATACGACATATACATACCATTTGCACGTAGTATGGGCAACATGCCGACTAAATCACTCCAGCGAAAATGTCAAATTCAATTCACCATTTCATTCGCAACATATGCTGGGAGTAATGTGCGAAGGAAGCGCAGCAGAATTGTTGAAGTTCAACTGAAATAAGTCGTAAAGTATAAATTTACTTGCTTTAATCGCTTTAATCCAGCTTAGTATTAAATTTAATATTGGATTAAACTATCGAATTTTAACTGATCCGATGCCATTAAAATCTAATCGACACTTATCTCTTAAAAAAGACCAGAACACACCATTCACTTCATTTATTGGAAACTTTTAACTCATATAAAATATAAAAAAATAAATAAAAAAGAATAAAGTAACCAATATTTGTTTGGGCATAGCGCCTGCTTATTTTGCAAACTATTCTGTAATTTCTGCATTACCCAAAGTGATCAAAATAATGTCTAAGTATGGAAACCTTTTTTATTTGACAAGGTAACTTCACACAATATTGGCATAGCTCTTTAAGGCAACGCTAGAATCTCTGAATAAAAAGTTCAAATCGGACCACTATAGAATATAGCTGCCATTCAAACTGACCGATCAAAAACAAGATGTCATTGACCGGTAAAATTTAGTTATACATACTAGTATATACTTGTATGCTAAGAGAAACTCACCTGTGTATTATAGCTTCGGTGTAGCCGGAGTTAGCGTTTTAGGCTTGAAAAGTTATGGTCGGATTTCGATAATTTTTAGCCTGTGAGTGTCATATTTACTGGTTCAAGTTCCGTTAACTGTATTTGTTCCTAGATTTATATTTGTAAAGCAAAAGAATCTCATTAAATTTTAAATTGTGTTACAGGAGAAGAAGGCGCCGTAGTTACAATCCAATTTTGCCCATATTCATACTGAGTTGTAAATATATGGTAACCTTAGTACAAAATTTTGTTGAATTTTAGTGCAGTAAATCTCCATAATCTCACTATAGTATATAGCATATATTTTTACACTTTTGGTACTTTTGTACTATGGGGCGTGGGCATGAGTATGTTCTGATTTTAATTTTTACATTTTATAAATAAATCATAAAAAAAATTACATAAATGAACGTTGTCACTAAGTTTTATTAATATGGCGTTAGCAGCTTGTGAGAAATGTAGATTTTTTAAGATTTAACCTCAATTTCATATACGTACTACGATTCCCTGAGTTGAATTTGAGTAATAACTTTTTTTTTGACTTTTTATTCGCTGGAATCTTAAAAACATTTCAAAAATAAGTCACATAATGTTCAATTTAGTTGTCTACAAAATTCTAATATTCTAATAAATATTTACAAAGGGTATAGTGTGGAAAATTTTTCAAATTATAGGTATTAAATATTGCACTTTAAATTCCCCACGAATGCTCTCTTTGAACATGGACTTATAGTAAAACCACATACATAGACGCAAATGACTTTGGATCTAGGCAATGGAAACTATTTGTAAAGATTTCGTATATTTCATGGCAGGGAAAAATTTATTAATTTAATTGAATTTGCTGCCGCACTCGAACGTCGCCACTAATATATGCACGTACTCGTACATACGTATCTAACGTACCCTTAAAGGTAGCGGGAAATTTTACCGGCTGACGCACACAATTATTAAGCGATTTAATAAAATTCTACAAATTCTTTTAGCTTTTTATTAATATTTGCAGCCTCTCATTGGGCGCTCGCTATTTGGCCAACCGGAAGTTTTTAAGATTCACTCTGAAATTCTTTATCCCGGCAGCTCTTTTAGGCAAAGCAATGGCGTCGCGAAAACAATTTTCAGCAACCCGCTGCTACATGTCCACCTATGTATGTGTAAATGTTGGCATACCGGTGATGCATTGTATGTGGGAGAAACACACACACTCGTGCATATTCATGGCGTGGGAGTGCGGGCACTTCGTTGTGTAAGCTTAATAGGAGCGCATTCGCGGTGTTTGTGCTTTCTTAAATATTTAAATTATTGTGCACACATACACAAGAATGTTTTTGCAAATAATGTATTTATAATGAATCACTATAGATATATGCACATACAAATTTATTATGTATGTAAATCATTTGTTGTGCTGTTTTGTTTGTGTATTTCAGCGATCCCAAATCGGCTTACATAATAAGATGTGGGAGTATATGAATTCGCGGAAGCATGTCTTTGTGGGCACATACGATGAAGGCATACGTCGGGTGCGCACATCAAAAGGCAAATACGCCCTGCTGATGGAATCGCCAAAGAATGAGTACGTGAATGCCAGAGAACCCTGTGATACAATGAAAGTCGGACGTAATCTGGATACGAAAGGATTTGGCATAGCAACACCGATTGGATCGCCTTTGAGGTGAGTATGCGAGATTGCATATTTATATAAATTTCGATTATATAAGTAAGAGGTAAGTTGAAAAAGCATTGCGAAATGCGCATACCAGCGAGCAACCTGAGCATACCTCAATAGCATCTTTGATAAAATATTGTAAAACCTGAAAGCTAAGAGATTAGCTAATAGAGATGGTTTTAAGTATACGCATTTCGAAAGTCGAAAATCATTATAGGTAGCATATGGGAGTTGGCGTGATTCGTGATTAAACTATGGTATACCCAGTGTCATATTTTCATTTCATTCATTAAGATACCTTACACATTGATTGATTCGTGCGATATAAAATCAACCGGAAATTTAAAATTCTTTTCATAGGTATATGGATGCTAGGACTAATTTTCACACAAAATAATTATTTTAAGCACAAAGACATACTGTTATTGGAAAGAAATTCTCTCCGAGTTTCATTAATATAAAACATGTATTGAACGATATAAGCGGTATAAATTTAACTGGAAGTCTGAAAATCTTTCTATTAGGTATATGAGAACTAAAGAAAGTATTGATCCCATTCTACCAAATTTGGAGAGAGAGGCATACTATTATCAGGAAAATACTGTTTCTGAGTTTCAAAAATATATTTTACAATTTGACCGGCATTTTCAACAAAAAGTTCGCAATAGGAACTGGGATAAATATATTCGGTATATATTCGGTATCTAAAATTTCGAAGGTATATATCCGACTTTGATCCTGGCAAGTTATAAGAGTATGAAATATTCGGTTACACCCGAACCTAGCTCTTCCTTACTTGTTATATACATAACCCCATATCTAACTCGATTCAACAAAACTATAATAACATGTAACATTATGTTGCGAGAGTATAAAATTGTTAAATTATTTGCACCTCGTTATAATTTATCTGCAACATTCATTATGTAACATGCAATTGAATAAAAATACATACAACATACATGGAGAAAAAACAGCTTCCCTAGTACCAGTGATAGATATTTCCGAGCGATTTTCGTCTTGACAAAAAATTCGGTCCGGTTCTAAATCATTCTCATGAGATTCGAATCTAGGCTCATAGAGATATCATGCAGATAATTCTAAATCGAAGCAAGCATTTGTAGCTGTTGCTCTTTCTGAAATATCAGCAATTTAATGTCTTTTCTTGAATCACTTAACAAAGGATTACGTATTAAATGTTGTGAGCGAGCAAATAAGTGTGAGTTATTTTGATGACAACAATAACACATGGCCCTAACATTTTAATACCACTTTTGTAGTACGATTTGTCTTTTTCCTCAAAATAGGCCTCAGTTTTAGTAATAACCTCTTCATTCAAGCCATCTAGATGTGAGGCCCGGTAATTTTCAGCCAAATAAGAGAATATGTACATAAATGAGCTATGTATGTACGTGTATATGCATGTACCTACATATGACATATACTATATAAAGAAATGAGTTGTCATACAATTTACTTCAATATCCCTCGAATCTGAGAACTACTGAACTATTTTTTTTTAGGCAAAAGTGAGATTAATTTTTTTGCTGTACTTCCGAAATTTTGCGAAATAACTTTACATCATTTTTCATACAACTTATATGCCTACTACGTGTACGAAATTACACCAACATAGCAACGCACGTATGCACACGCCAGTGCACAGCTAACGAACGCGTCTTGTCTTGCCACAGCCCTATGCATTCTTCGCTGAATGGCTGGTAGCAACATCAAAGGCTGACTGCTGCCAACAGCAACAGGAACCAAAGCAGTCAGCTGTGCAGCCAAGCAAAATGTTGTATAATGTATGCCAGTGGAATTTCTTTATTAAAAATTTCTCCTTTAACATACTTTTGTATGCATATGTATTCCATAATTTGGTATATATGTACGAGTATGTAATGTGTAGACATAGAGGATATGCTTGATTGAAACTACATAATGTAAAATACTTCTGTAGATACATATGTATGTACCCTCTACACGTTATAGCTATACTCAGACCTACTTTTAACCTTCCGAACTTTCAATGAAATCTCTTATCCTTTCGTACAAGGCTTTTTTTCACCGACTCCTGCTCGTTTTCAATACAATTAATTGTTGTCTGTTTGGTTATTCTAGTTATTCATTGTGCTATTTTCTACCTTTTTTCATTTCATGCCACCAAATGGAATAATATGGACATGCAACCATCAACAACAACAACATTAAAATACCACATGCTGTTTGGCAAAATAAAAAACTTCACAACTTAACGGACATACATTAAAAACGACTAAACACACAAACATAAAAACAACCAACTAAACTACCAATCCTCCAATGCTTTTGATCCGACTAATCTCATGCAACGACAAACTTTTGCAAACCACATGACCCACTAACCCCATAAATCCGAAACCAAACCGAACTATTTAAATATCTATTGGGCAACTTTCGGCATATAAATGTATTCCGCACCAATTTATTTGCTCCAATACTCCTCACATACATATGAACTAATTTGGCCGTCGCCACACAGAGATCCGATTAATTTGGCTGTGCTATCGCTGAAGGAGAATGGTGAATTGATCAAATTGCGCAATAAATGGTGGTATGACAAAACTGAATGCAACCTCAACAAGGACAATCAGGAGACATCACGCAGTGAATTGTCATTGAGTAATGTGGCTGGTATATTTTATATATTGATTGGTGGCCTCTTGGTGGCTGTCTTTGTGGCTATCATTGAGTTTTGCTTTCGCAGTAAAGCGTCCGCACAAAAAGCGAACGGCTCCATGCTGAGTTCAGCGTCCGGTGGTGGCTCACATCAAAGGAATTCTCTAACAGATGCCATGCATTCTAAAGCGAAATTGACTATTCAAGCGAGCAGAGAATATGATAATGGTCGTGTTGGGGTAAGTTAAAAATGTATTGTATTGGTCGCCATTAAAATTTACACACACATGAACATTTAATCTGAATACCAATATATTTTATGTCAATGTATTGTATGAATTTAAAAATTAAAAGGAATTAAAATTTTTTGAAAATCGAGCCGAAAGAAATTGAAAACATAGTCACCTTCTTACATATCGTTAGTTCTTAAAAAAATCATTCACAACAAATAAAAGTATGAAATGTAGAAAATATTATGTGACGAATACCTTTTTATCTTATTAAATCTTTTATACTTATAGAGTGACTGGCTACTAAATTGCCTGACTGTACATGTCTAGTAGTATTACATGTTAAATAAAATTTATTTTCAGTATTTCTGTGAGAACTCCATCCGAGCCTGGTGCTTTATTAGTCTTCAGCTAGTGCGCGGCTTGCTGCAGTTACTTTATTGCGAAACGTGCTATATTTAGGAAAATATGTAATACATAGCGCCATGTTTAGGGAATAGTGTGGATAGTCATCATAATACCCTGTATATATGACCTTTAGTTTTTGAGATATCAATCTGAAAATTTGTACTCATCCTTTTTACTCGAAGAAGCTGCACATTTGTCGAAACCGCCGATATCGCATACTGATATATCATATCAGATATATATATATATCTATAAAGCTGCCATACAAACTGAGCAAACAAAATAAAGCCTTGAAAATTGGCACGAATTATTATCCAAAGCAATGCCACAATCTCCGAATAAATTTTTTAAATCGGACAGCTATAGTATACAGCTGCCGTACAAATTGAAGAATTAAAATCAGGTAATTGTGTGGAAAACTTTTATTATTTTCCAAGATATCTTAGGGTCACAAAACAATCTACAAAGAAATTGTTCAGATCGGGCAACCATAGCATATAGCTGAAATAAAAACTGACCGAACCAAATTCAAGTTTTTGTATGGAAAACTTTTTCAAATCCAACCTATATAACTGACCGATCAAGTTCTTGTATGAAAACTTGAAACTATGAAGGGGATTACCGCTTCCCTGCAGTCGAAGTCAACGTTTCTTCCTTTTTTCATTGCATTTGGCTCTGGTTTTGGCTCTAGTTCCATGAAAATTTTATAACGAGCTCGATTTTAGAGCATAGAATATAGATGCTTTGAAATCTCTACATTAGTAGACGTGTGCACATTTGTATAAAACTGTTATGCTTCTACATATCATTGTTTTACACAAAACCCATAAGAGCCACTGTTAAGGCGGATATAAAGCAATCCAAATAGTGCATCCGGCCCGTTACAATTGCTGTAGCAGCTATCGAATATGGACAGATAAAACTAGTGGAACTATGCAACATATCAGGCTTTCGCTGCGTTATGACTATAATAACCAGGCAGCTAACAAAGTACATGGACCTACGTACAATTTACACACGCATCTGCATACTATTCAAAGCATAATATCTACACATTTTCCACTGGCGAACGCGTTAACGTTATTTGTGCGTTCAACTAAACGCAACTGCTGAGCTTAATATGCATAAATATACAAAAGCATAGCACACACACACAGACCCCGCCCCCCTACCCCCCACATATAGAGACGAACAATGCAGTGGGCATTTAATCAGTCGCCATAAGGGAGATACGAGCATGGAATCCACTGAGCGTTCATTTGGCTGTTGGCAAAATGTGCTCGACTGCTCGCTTGCCTGCTGCTGCTTGGGTGCCTGACCGTCTAGCATTGTGCATCCGTACGTCCGTACGAAACGGCTGACAGGCAGCTGAGCAACAGACAAATAGAAACAAATCAGCAACCAACAGCCGTGGACTAGCTATTTAAGCTCACACACATATACTTATGCAATACGTCTTTGACGATACAGAGAATGCTCGGCGAGAATGAGTTAAGCCTAAGCCATGCACAACGTACAAGTTAGGTTTTCTTTTAATAAAACCCGTAAAAAAATATTTTTTCAATGGAGCATAAGTCCTTTATTTTACACATTACTCTGTGCAAATATGTCTATGTGTGTGCATATCTATTTGCCAGCCTACAGTAAAAGTTGGCCCGAAGGCACCGCTGCAACGTAGCCAACTCGTTGCATGCTTGTGTGCGCTGTGAATATGTGTTTGCACTTGTAACCCGTGCACTTGTTTGCTTTCGTACTCCGCATGGCTGAATAATCATCGCGTTCATTAATACAAGCCTTGCAGGCGCGTAACAGCGATCAGGTCGCCGTCGTCGTCAGCTGTGTCGGACGAAACGTTCAACTAATGACTGACACGGGCATATCTGTCGCTGAGTGACCACACTGGTCTACAACGAGTACAACGCACACGTCTACATACGTATGTGTGTTTGCAACCGCAACGCTGTTCAGCAGTTACCACTACGCTACTGCTTGGCTTAAAATTCTGCACATATTCTCTGCTGAACGGGTGTGTTGGGCAAGGTCTCTTATAAAGCAAACTGTTTTATGTTTCTGAAATTAATATGAATTTACACCAATGCAACAGCAACAGCAAATAATGTCTGCTTAAGTAAGGCGAGGAGGTTAGATAACATAGCTACTACTTAGTTAGACTGGCAGTCAGCGAGTACTGTATACATTTAGCATATGTGTTAGTGTATGCACTCATATGCCTCCGCATACATATTTGTTTGGTCTGATGAATCAGTTTCTCTTATGTTAACTGCACGCCAGTGACGTCTACACCATCACACCGCATCTACCTCATTTTCTATACATGAGTCAGTGTACGTGTGCTTGTGGTGGTAATGCAGCGCTGTGCATACAATTTTCGTATACAACAAGCCAGCTAGCTAGCAATTTTCGGTGCATGTTTGAGTTGTAATTAAATGTTAGAACAGCAGGTATTTTGTAATGATGTATGTATTTAGTGGCTTGTCATAATATGTTTGATGCAAGTAACAGCATTTGGTAGCTGGGTTGGTGTTGATTGCTTCCTGATTACTCATGTAAAATCTAGGACGCCGAGGAGTAAAGCATTTTACTTAGTCGAATTTGTGGTGGCAGCCTATGTTATGCATGCATTTGTACCCATTTGTTAGTGCTCAATTTCATTAGTTTGGAAATTTTTGTTGAAGCTAACCATTAAAAAGAATTAGCAAACGTCAAACGGCTCTGAGCGCCATATGATATTTGCACTTGTTTGAGTTAAGAATAGGTTTAGAGAAGAGATATACATATCTGTTTGTAGGGATCAAAAGTATACTTGCTAGCGCAATATGAATTTTTATATTGATTATTTTTTAATTATGTACTTCTGCTATAAACAAACCTATGCCTTCGAGTAATAACGAGAGTCTCAAGAAGCTCAAAGTAATTGAATCTACCTCCGACAAAAAATTCATTCCGATTACATAATGCAACCGGTGTTTAGTTATCGGTCTACTAGACCCTAGTATTGTATTGTAGAAGAATTTTGTATTGCGTATGGCTACTGATCTTATTAGATTAGAAACGCCGACAACCCCATGGTTTACATTTTAAGGCTGTACTGTTTAAAATTTGAGCAAGAATTCATAAATTGACACAAAAATAAATTGAAAATAATTTAAAACAATTTGAAAGGAATTACTTAGAGAGATTTAAATTAATTTCCATGCTCGTCGAGATAGTAATACATTCCTATGCATGAAATGTATCAGCGACTGAAGTTAATAGTAATAAATTATTTTACAAAGCTTGAAAACCCTTAAAATATTGTAGATCTTGGTTAAAATTATTATAACTATTTACTATAGATGTTGATATGACAACACATCAATAGGCAATGTGCTCGTATATGGTCAAAAAAATGTCCAATTAAACGAAATAAATATTCAGCTACATATGTTCTGCATTTTCACATAAATACGAAGTGATTCGATTTGAATACAAATATGTGTATTCCAGTAATCGAATAATTTGATGTGATATCGAAACAGCTCGTTCGATAATCCATATTTGCATTTCCAAATATTTGAAAAAGAAAAACCTCTGACATGTGTTTTATTCTTACGTACACACAAGGGAAGAAAGGGCGAAGTCGATTTTCTACGGATGAGTTGAAGGGGAGTGGAAGGTTAGAGGGGGAGTTTTCTGTTGATAGTGTTCCATTAACTTGAATTACTTGTCCTTCTAAATGTACACTGTCCTATTGGTACACATGCTTTGAAGCTAAAGTTTTTGGATGCAGAAAATCATTAAAGCTGCATTGAGGAAGGTGATCTGATCCACTGTCCAGCTTTCGTTAGACTAAGGTAGATGCACCTCGGTAGCAATACCTTCTTAAAACCAGGTGAATTGGCTGTAATCGATATTAACCGCATCAACAAATTTTTGACAGGTCGAAGGTGATTCGACAATATGCCACGGCATCACAACGATATAAATTTGGTTTGGAAGGAAGGTTTTTGTGTATTTACTTTGGTACAAAACGATATATATATATCAATCTGCTTTAAATAGAGGTGCACATTTTTCAATTAAATAAATTTCTTAAACTGCTTCCGTATTCACATAGTGTCTTACACGATGAATTAATTTCGACAAGTTTATTAAATTTTAAGTCAAAGCCAAATTTAAACTACTATGGATAAAAAGATAAAATCTGCGCACTATATCATACTACACTTTCACACATACCTATTTCTATACAAATTCATAAACTTATATTGAACTTTGTTGTGGTCACAACTATTATTAATGTTCAAACAGTACCTCAATTGTGCTTCTTTGCAGTATTATCCAGCCGGACAATTAAGTGCCGCATCTGAGGCTGAAACAATGCACATGAATGCGCACAGTCAGGTTTGACATGAACATGCGCAGGAATCGCGCCTTTGACGTACACCCTGCGCACCAACAATACGCCGCATAATGGCCAACAGCCGGCAGGAAACGGAGAAGATGTTGAGCAATCATGATCAAAACGCAACAACAATGCCGGGCAGCCAGAATAGTACGCTCATGCGAAATCCCGATGTAAATCATCCCTACGCCAAATAAATATATATATAAATATATATACATACATATATACTAACTTAAATACAGATAACAAAGAGAAAAACAAAAAAAAAAATATATATATACTGAAACAACATTCAAAAAAGTGGAATTAAGCGTGTGAAAGTATCAAAAATAACAACTAAACAAAATAAACCAGGAGCGTATATAAATATTACTAAGAGTGAAAATAAATAATAAATGTGTTATTATATAAGTAAAAACATAAACAAAATCATACACACAACACATTTTTAGTTTGAAATTAGTCAAGTAATAAAAAAACTCCTTGCAAACATACAGTTACATGCAGAATACCCGAAAGTGAAACAATAAGGCAGTGCAAATAAAAAATTTTACTCATATTATAAATTTGGACAAATAACTACTTTTTCAATTAATATCTTATTTCTACCCGTTTTTTTTCTTTTTCCGCCTACCCGATTTTTACCTAATATGACCCAATTTGACGCTTAAGTGGTAACAAATTGTTCCAAATATTGAATTTGAAATCATAAAAATAACTGGACAACATATAATATACCAATCAATAATTCAGTGCTCGTGCGCCACGGAACATGCCACCGCCGATTACTTAGCTATTGGATACTAAGAGTATTTTTATAATAGAAGAACTTTTTCCTGCTGGCTGGCTTTAACGCCATACATAGACCCATAGGTCCTTTGCTGTATGGAGATTTAATATTAATACAAGCTGAAGCTTGCGTCGTGTAGCACATTAATGCTTTTTGCGAAGTTTAATAGAGACTTTAGAACTAATGCTGATACTTCCTCCAGCCCCTTGACTTGCGAAGCTCCTAAATGACTAAGCCGGGTTTTAGTTAAGACCGGACAGAGCCAGAGGAGCTCCAGCGTCTCTCTCCGCCTACTTTCCACATGTATCACGTGTGTTAATAATAACATATGGCTCGCATGTGATGCCATTGAACTTGGCAATGGGCTTATGGGCATTTGCTATCATGAAATAATCATTTTCGAAATGGCGTCGGGTAGGTATGTTCGAGCTGATATAGCGCACGTTTAGGCTCTTAAACCGTTTATAAATTTGTTAGTATTTAATACCTATTTTCCATGTTTTGTTATATTTGTTTATCTGCTTCGCAGAAACGTGAAATTTACCACTGCCACTATGAGGATTGAATGGTAACTCTCTTGTGGCCAGTAACTCAGCAAATACGACTGAAGACCATTAAATGGTTGGTTGGAAGAACACCTTTAACAAAAATTATCCATATATGAATATGAATTTATGTTTTACAGAAATTAACGAATGCATTAAGTATAGTATTTGCTATATAGATATACAGTTTTTCTTCTTCAAAACTTCTAAGAGGTCATCATTATAAATTATTTGTTACACTTTTTCCAACAAATGCAACTTAATATGACATTTCCGTTCAAATTTCAAAATAGTTGTTTAACAAATTTTTACTATCAGTAACAGTAAAAAACTGCATAAAAATACATTGTTTGAATTTCAAATCAAACAGAAACTAAGAAAAGCGTCTTTTTGAAAATTTTTTTAATTAATTTAACTTTAATTCTTTTATTGCACACTTATTGCTTTGGTTCCCAGAGCAATTGTGATGACAACCAATTTTTCCTTGCTTTTGACTGAAAGTAGAAAAACCATTTAATTTAAATTGCTAATATGTATATGAGACCATTTTCAACAATTATAAGCATTTGTAAACATTTGAAATGTTAGAAAGTCACTGCAGCCTAAAGCCTCTACAAATAGCAGTGACTACAAAAGCTTGCGGCATGCGTAAATGCAAATTGTTTCACTAACACACATAGAAATTCTACACAGCCTAATTGAACTAAATAAACTCAATAAAATATTTTATGTACATACAAACATACATACGAATACATACCTGCGTACACATGCAGTAATTTAGAAGTAAATTATCTTAGGCTTGGTAGTATCAGTAGATATAATCTATTAAATCAAATCTGAAAGTAAAATCAAACATTGATAAACAAAGTAAACAAAGAGGTAAATTATTAAAGGCTACAAAAAGTCAAATAACGGTATAATAAAATCTTGTAGAATAATTTAAATTTAAGCAGAGCATTGGCTCTTAAATTAAAGAACAACAAGAAATACAACAAAAAACGCTGTAAAGGAAGCTAAAGGCAACTACGACAACAATAAATTAAATGCTAAAAGCAAGCATTCATAAAAAAAAATAGATATAATATATATAGATGTATGTTTGTATGTGTGTATCACAAACGGAAAGCGACATATAGCTGTAAAGAAACCTGAATGTAACTAATTGTACGCCAAAAAAAGTGGCAACATTTTAACTAGTAACACAGCTGCATTTATGTAGAAACTCATACACATACATATTTGCATAGTTGAAATGATGTGCGTGAGCGTAAAAGTGCTTACATGAGTATGTGTGTTTCCTTGTGAATTCTTGACCACAATAATTAAATACTTATATGCTACTGCAGAACACACACACGCAAACAAACGCACAAGCATATAGTACACAAACGACAACAGTACATTCATATGTGTGCGTGCATACGTATACATATACATCCAATTTGCATGAGCATGTTCATAAATAAATAAGTTAACTCAACAAAAGTGAAATACAAAAACTACTCACAAACAATACGAATATGTTGGCATACATATTTACATACGCATAAACTTAGGTTAAATGAAAACTGCAATTAATTGCATTGAAATGACTGATCACTAAACATTTTTAATTATTATATGAAAACAAAATTAAGCAAATAAATTAATAAAAAAATTCGTAGTGTAAGTATTAATAAATAGATATATATGTAAATGCAAAATCCTTGCTAAAGCAATGAAAAAGTGAAACTTAAACAAATGCATATACAATACATATTTGCATACATACACACAAACACATATATATACATAGGTATATGAAAGAAAATATATTAACAAACACATGCATTTCCTAGGCTTGTCGACCGCATGATAACTTTTAGTGACAGCTGCTCACTCTTTATTATGCAATAACACACCATGTTATAAATAGTTTTTTGTGAATTTATTATTACACAAGTGTATTATTTAATTTTAATGATTTTATACGCACTTTTTGTAAGTAATTTACCTTGATTTATGCAATTAGCATAAAATATTTATTTCGACTGAAAGCGTATATGATGCGTTTAAAAGCCCATTGATCGATATAACTGATTTATTTGCAATGCCTGGAAAAACGGCAAATGACCTCCGCAATTAGTTATTTCATTATGAATAATATTCCTGGTATATTGTGGCCTGGTAGCATTCGATAATGACAGCTTATAGGTAAGTATGTGAATGAAAAAATTGGTCGTTATAAAATTTACATTTGCTATTTAATTTCAAAAATATTTACACAAGTTAAAGTTTACATATGGGATCATACGAATTTAAATAAAAAATTGTTTGGCTTTTTAGGGGCGAATAATCGAATCTTTACTGAAGTCTTTGGTTACGTTTGGCCTTTCATTTGTTACAGCTTGTTAGGTCTTTATTAGTTTTGTTTAAACAATTGCCCAGTAACTCTTTATTGGCTTAAGCTCTGGGCTCTTTAAGAGCAATTGTCAACATATTATATTGGGATTTAAAACCATTTTCCGTAATGACATGCCGCTAGATCAGGCCCAAAGAGTACTGAGTACTTATGAAGCCAAATTAAAGGCAAGGCGATATTTGGGAAAATCAAACACTATTGTATCAATATTTTAAAATTTTAATTGTATATTTATATATACCTTAAGAATACACAGTAAATTTTTTTGAAGAACAGTATTAAGTATGCTTTTCTGCAATAATTCCAGCCTTGTCCGTAGAGGAAACCTAAAAAGCCCTCTCCTAAAATATATTGTCTGTAGAATTAAAAATTGACTACATGGCGGCGTTTAAAAAAACAAAAAAATGTAATTCAAAATTTTGTTCTTTGTTGGCCCGCTTAATCAAATCTAAAAACTGGTAAGTCATTGTATTTACTTGTAGAACGATATACAGAACATAGTAATTAGATAATTTGTTTCCGAAAAATCCGATTAAAGATAACTTGATGGAGCAATCAGCTCTGAGCGGCTACACTTTAGAAGGCTGTAACTCAAAAACTGTACGAAATATCGATTTAAAATTTTAGTGTGGTGAAATAATTAGTGTGTCATTTTTAAAGATAACCATAACCTATCGAAGTTGAAAAAAATTAGTTTTTTACAGCTTCAGAGTAGTTGTGCCCTTTAACTTGAAACAGAATTTTTAATGAGAAAAATATATATTTAGAATATTCGGCAGCGGATTCATTCTCGGACTCATTCACCGTCCACCACATCGCATAGGCATACTTGTAGGTCGTTCTATCACTACGTTCGGCGAAACTTTCATGATTCCACAGACATCTAAAAGCTCAAGCCCAAAGCTTTTAATATAATCTCAATAATAAGCATCAAAGAAAAGTCAGAAAATTCTTCAAGTTGTTTTATTAAAAATAGTATAAATTTGGAGTCAAACACCCGTTCAGGATCAGATATATTCTTCAACGTATAATATACAAAAAACCTGATAAAACTAAGAGTTGGGGGTCGTAATTTGGAAATTGAAATTGACGAAATTAAAATGTGACGAAAAGAGTCTAAAATTTTTACAATCCGTTGCTACATGTTTGGTCCCTCTCTCTCTTCATAACAAAATAAGTTAGTAAGAAGATCAAATAGAATATGCTTATTTCACATCAACAATTTAAACGAAATTCACTAAGTTTAGCCGAGTTTTTGATAACTGTCTACAGTTCAATTATCAACTTTCATAAAAATATAGCATAATAGCTTCACTGAACATTGTGGAACTCCTTTAACTAATGTTCACTATGCCTCCTTATGAGGCAAGTCAGAGTTACAAGTTTTGAGCCGCATTATGAGTTTAATATGTTTTTTTATTTATATTTGTATTAGAAAGCAAAGTGTAACGGTCCTCCATCATTTCGATACCGATTCAGTAGTGTGAAGCTTCGAAGCCTTTAAAATGGGTATTTAACAGGAAGGAAATTGTTCTCCTCATTTTAGCGAAGTATTTATCACATGTTGTTGTTTGCTGGCGTACCAAGTCGCAAATCAATACTTTTTTGTCGAATATTTTTTGGCTGTTTAGCCGTTGCGCTTAGCAAGTCATTGCCTTTTATCAACAGGGTCAGGATCTAAATTAAAACCATAAACTTTTAAATTGAGAACAATTGAATAAAACAACATCAAACTTATTCTGATTAAGGTTAATACTCTGTGACAATTACAGAGATTTTTATATGTGGTGCGATATCTTTCAGCCCGCGGCTTAAACGACTTAAAAATGTATTTTATTTTATTATTTTAAACAAAGGCCCCCCATCCTCTCTTCTACATACTATATACTGTTTTTGTTAAAATTGTAGCCATATAGCCTTTTCTCTACTTCACGCAAAGTCACTTTTACTTCATTTATCATACCATAAGGAGCCGTCATATGATATTTTCTTTCTGCTTTAGAACCAAATCGTTATAAAAATACCAAAATGTATGTATATTACTACAAACAAAGTTATAAAACTAGTCACCTAGCAAATTTTTTATTAATAATTATCTTTATATAAAACATGCTAGTTTATGCATCCGTTCGTTACAAGTTTTTATGGGAAACGATACGCATTACTACTACGCCATCATCTTCCACGTAATGAAAGATTAAATGCAATAATAATAAGAGAAAACTGAAATTGAAAGAATATAAATGTTGTAAATGAGTAACATGCATTTATAGTTATAGATTTATTAATAATTAGTTCATACGTACTTACACACATATTACTAGACAGTTAAGAGTAACAGTGCTGTAAAAATATTTCCTTGTACCCTAGTCTAAATAAAACAGTATTTAAATAAACATGTATTAAAAGTGCAGACTAAATAAATAAACAAATAATAACTGAATTAAAAAACATATATATTAACTAGATAATAATATGGTACTATTCACATAGCTAAAGTGCTTAAGTCATATCAAAATTTACAGATTAAAAAAGGTATATAAAGATATACAATAAATAATGGGTAATAATATTTGTGTTCTTTAAAATTTACTTATATGAACATTTACGTAACATAAAAATTGTTAAAAATTATTAATAAAATTTTACTTTATATTTATTTTCTCCAAAACTAACCAAATTCAGTTTAGATAAAAAAAGACGTAAATCAAAACTACGGATAATAAAAAACCATATACAAGAAACCACAGCATTAAACATGTCAACATCAAGACTTCGATTTAAAACCACTAATAAAATGGGAAAAAAAAAACTTCCAAATCAAAACGAAATTAAACAATAATCAAAATCAACTACTAAATGTCAAAATATTTAAAATATCTAAAAAGACATATTTGCATTTACCACATACAAACATGATGTCTGCTTCTATGCATTAATATATATGTGTAAAAATGTGTGTTCTTATTTTTTATACCAAATTATTATAAATAGTAAATACATATATAAAATTATTAAATTGATATAAATCAAATATTTGATTACGATAATGTGAGTAGTTAAAATTTATACAAAATATTTAGTTGCCACCTAGTTTAAACTTGATATATGGTATTTAGATTTAATTATACTATGTACTAAGAAGTTTTTCGAAAACAAATATAATGATAAGTCGGTGCAGATTGTTATCGTAAACTTTAAACATATTAATTTTAAATTAAACATAATAAAATAAACATAAAATAAATAGTCAATACTAATGCTAATAATTATAAAGAACAATGAAAAATTATAAAACTGTGAAATTAATAAATAATAAAGAACATACAAAAATGCTAAATTTATAAAAGAATATTGGAGCATATTTTATTTAATACTAATAGATACCCACCTCAGTTCTCTGCGACATTTCGATTAATAAAGTAGGATATTTTTGCCTAAATATTAAGAACGTTAACTCCATCCTGCATTTTAGTTTTACTATATAATATAAACTCAACTCTGGCGCAATATAGTTACTCTTGATCCCTTCTCTTATCGATATAATCGGAATCGGACATTTGTTAAGCATTTACCACCTTTTAAATGCAAATAAAGTCTGATGAATTTTGCTCCAAATACTGCTCGAATAAACAAACGTTAAATTTTATGGTATAGATAAATTTTCCAAATAGTTTCTGCTTATGTTACAGCAAGTAAAGCGTGGTTAATTGGATTCTCCACAAGAACATGATTCCGATCGTTCAGTTTGTATAGTAGCTATATGGTATAGTAATCCGATCTCAACTCTTCGAAAATTGCGCTGTTCTCTTTGACAGTATCTCATGCTAAATTTCATAAAGATATCTTGTGAAATTAAAAAGTTTTTTTTTATTTTAGTTTATATGGCAGCTATATGCTCAAGTGATCCGATCTGAACAATTTCTTTGGAGATTACACCGTCGCCTTCTGCAATAGCCCACGCCAAATTTCTTAAAGACATCTCGTCAAATTAAAAAGTTTTCCCTTCAAGCACTTGATTCCGATCGTTCAGTTTGTATGGCAGCTATATGCTATAGTGGTCCGATATCGGCACTTCTGGCAAGATGAGAAAAGAACGTGTTCAAAATATCATATCGATATTTCAAAAATTGAGGGACAAGTTCGCTTATACACACATAGGCGGACATGGCTAAATTGACTCAGCTCGCCATTCTGATATCATTTATATATACTTTTTATAGGGCCTAAGACATTTCCATTTGGGTGTTACAAACATCGTGACCAAATGAGTATACCTTATTCAATGTATAAAAAGAGAAAGTTGATGTCATTTAGAAAGAAACTGTTATACTGATTTAAAGTTCACTATATGAACTTAATACTTGCTACTTTACGATTGTTGAGGACCTTGGTGAACTTAACTGTAAAGCTTATTGGCCTTACAGTTACATAAAAGCTCGGTGGCACAGACAGGAAGCAATTATGGTAAATTATAACAACAAGTTACCGTCAAAGCTTACACTTGTGCAAGTTGCATAGTTCCATTAGTTATCAGAAAGCTTATTAAGCTTTAGGGAGCACCTAAGTTGGCAAACATACTTATGTTAAGTTTCGGTTTTGTCGTAGTTACAAAAAAGCGCTAACCGACCAACGTAGTTGCAGTATGGCAATAATTTTTTAATAAAAAAGTAAGGAATGGTAAAGTTCGCTTGTAACCAAACATTTTATACTTTTGCAACTTGCAAGAATCAAAGACGGCAAAATACCTTCAGGTGTTGGCAAAACTTTTTATAACTTTGGTATTTTATGAAGTTATATTATAGGTCAAAGACTCATATAGTTTTATTGTTATATTTTACATTGCGTCAGCTAAAATTATATTAAAAACATCCTCAAATATGATACATGTGATATAAACTCAAGCGAAGAGGCTAAATTTATTACATTGAGGCCATGTGAGCCACTAAGTCTATACCAAGGTTTACACCAAATCCTTACATATTCAGCACTAAATCATTAATATAACTTCGTAATTTTGAACCATTTTGACCAACCTAAACGGTTAAGCTGGAAAATTGGAAATCACTTACAGGGTATATTATAGTCAAAGAAAGAGTATGTTACATTCACCTTTGACATTGTTAAGATATACTCGAGAACATATTTCCAGCAAATTTATAAACAAATGACTCACGAAATGTTCGGTTAAAGGTTTGTAAAAATAACATAAATCATGTTGTGTACATACGAGGGTTGCCTTTCATATTTCGAGATTATAGAACGTAAACAATTATTAATATTTTCCATACACTGTTTCATGCGTTTGAAACAATTTTTTTAAGCACTTTTGTCGCTGTGATTAAGGTGTCGCATCAACCGCCTCTTTAGGTGTCGAAAAAGGTTGTCCTATTAGTTTTTTTTTTTCAGAAAGAAAAGGAAATCTTTCGTTGCCAAGTCTGGACTACATTTATGGTGGATGACTCATCAAATCGATGTTTTGAGTGCTCAAATATGCAGTTCTTTCAGTCGATGGGTGAGAGCTCGAGTTGTCGTGGTCAAGACTGATCCGCGTGCGGCGGTTGGTTTTCCTGATTTCTCGAAAGACAACTGGCAAACAATTAGTTGTGTACCACCCAAAAAAAACAACTGATTTTGGACGACCTTTACGAAATTCGTCTTGTCGACCTCAACATATCATCGATATACACTAGTCCTTGAATGAGCTTCACCGCCAAATATTTAATTTAGTTCATCAATGCACTGTTAATCCACGTCGATAGGTGTAAAAACTAACAGACCAAAAATATTCGTAATTCAAATTACTGTAAATAGCACAAATAGCGCTCGTATGTCAAAACAAGCTGAGTTAGTATAACAACAAAAAACTTTACGATAAAGTTGTGAGTTACCAGATGGCAACAATAGGGTTTTCAAATCCCAAAATATAAAAAGCAAAGCAAAGGTATGAAGTATATGTGAATTGGGTATTTCATATACTAAATTCACATTTTTTCGGCGATAGACCGTACTATAACCAATATTACACGTTCTTCTAATATATCTTACAAACAGACAGATATATGCGGAATAAAATCAACCGGAAGTTTGAAAATCTTATATTAAACAGGTATATGGGAGATAACGGTATATTGACCCGATTGTATCTATTTTCGGCAGTACTACATACTTCACATACCATCAACAAAATATAAGGAGTAAAGTCAACATGGTGCTTCAAAATCCTGATGTTAGTTATATGGGTTGACCAACCTTAACGGTTTATAGTCAGCTGGAAAGTTGGAAATCACTTATAAGCACACAGATGCACAGTTATTAGAAGAACACGTCCACTTAAATGTATTTAGATATTTAACATATTGGCCGATATATGCTGAACAAAGTCAGCCGGAGAAGTATTGACCCGATTCAACCCATATCTGATATACAGACAATATAATATTATCAGGAAAAGATTTCCTCTGAATTCCAAATATATATCTCATACATTGAACGATGATTTCGGTAATAAGTCAACCATCAACACTGAGGTCCACATCTTCGGTTATGGGGACTTGAACAGCTATGATCCGATTTGGACAAGTTTTTGACTTGAGAAAAGATTTTTCCAAATATATCCATAGAACCTTGATTTGTGTATTCGAAAGTGAAAAAAACATATGGAATTTAAAAAAAATTAAATTGTACTATATGAGAAGTCATTATAGTGAAAATGTGCGACCCATTTTTAAACTGCAGTTATAATGTAATCTTCTAACGTTTCCAAGATTATTATTAAGGCAGTTGTCGCACTTGGAGGAATTTGTGACTAAATCATAGCACATTATGATATTTCGAATAAAGTCAGCTTGCAAGCTTAGCAATGTGTCGATGTGCAATATCCCCTCAGAAAACAATGCAACCTATGTTTCCTTACGATTTCTAAATGTTTACTCAACTCATAGTTTACAAGGACAGACAACTAGAAATTAACTCGTCTTGTCATCCTGACACTTTGATAAGAAAAATTCAAAAAATTTTCATTTCGAAATATTTTTTTTTCGAATGTCCTTCAACTATTTATTAGGTAAGGCAAGACGGTTTTCTGGATCTTAGAACTAGTTATTTTTAGCAGCGAAAAAAATTTCGTAGATTTTAGCGTTGCCTTGGGTAGCGTTGCCTAATTATGAGATGATATATTATATTATCAAATATAAAAGTTTTCTATACAAACACTTCATTTTGATCCATCGGCTATATGCTACGCAGATCTGATACCGACGTGTTGTGAGCAGCATTTGGGGACAAGAGGTAGCGTTTAATATATGTATATATATATATATTATATATGGTACATACGTACACTTTTAAGGTAGTTGTACAATTATTTCATAAGGTTTAATAATTTGATTTTCATAGCGGTCGTATATATATTTATATATATCGATACATCGTACATCATTACATACATTGTACATCGACATCTCAAAAGCTGAAAGACTAATTCGCGTATATACAGACAGACGGACGTGACTAAACCGATTTAGCTCGTCACTCTGCAAGTTTCAAAGCAACCCTTTCAGGGTATAAAAAATGTTTGAGCTACTAAAACATGCCTGGTCGTAAAAAGGTAGAATAGTTTATTTAAAAAAAAGTTGGTGCGTCTAACCTGTATTCACTATTTAGTAAACATACTACATACTTACGATCCATGAGCTTTGAGCACGCGTTTTCCTCGAGAATTAAAATATCAAAGCTTTTGAATTTTTACATAAGTTTTATTTCATTTCATACTCATGTCACTTGACTTACGAAATAATTACGTTTTCTTTATTTTCGTTTTGACATAAAGTTTTCTGCTGTTCTCATTAGAAATACGAATATTACGTTTTTTTTGTTTTGTTCCATTATTTTTGCAGTGTGTGTGAGCTTTTGTGTGACTCATTTATCAATCAGTTTACATTAAGTTAATTAATTTTATATTTTTTTATATTCTTATTTTATGCATTTTTCTTATTAATTTATATTTCACAATTTTGCATAAATTATATATTTCCCGTTATCAACTTATATCGTATGTATGTATATAATATGTATGTTGTTAGTTAACTGCATTTATTGATGCACAATCGACAAATGAACAGTTATACTAATTTTGCAGTAATTTGTTATTTACTCAATTCAATTGTATTATGTTGTCAATGCCTTGCAAACTTTGCAATATTTTTGTTAACATACATATATAACTATGCATTATATATGCACGAGTATATATATACATATATGCATTTGCCAAAGTAGTCGCATGCATTAAAGTATTTGGTGCATTTTTTAAGAGTAATTTTCTTAATCATTTTTGCTAATTTGTTTCAAGTTTGTTATGAAATTAACACAGTCGAAAATTGTGATCCACGATCAATTATTTGCAAACAAGCATACATAACAAATGTACTTTTACATATGCATATACATATAAGTATAAGTACATATGTATGTCAGTTGGTTCTAGTTCTTAGTAACTAATTGGGCGTATTAGAGTTTTTTCATGTGTTTAAATTTAAAAATTAATATCATACTTATATTTTGACAATAGCTTTCTTATTGGAAATGCTGAACAAAAAGTGGTTCAAGTTGAGTATTATCGATAAATTGAGTACTCATCGTGTCAGGATTGTAAGTTTTGTGGCGGCTTAAGAACTATATTTTGAGATTCTATAACATCATTTCACATATTTTAGTTAAGTTGAAACGAACGATCAGCGGAAATACTCATAGCTATATCCTCCTCGCGGATAGTGGCTGGTTAATGGACGTCACCACTGGCGCCATCACGGCTTGGCATCTGGACTAGTTTCTAGAGCAGATCTTGGTGGTGGGTGCGAGCACCCGACGCCTAATTAAGGCAAATGTATGTATCCATTATCTTTTTCTTGGTAACTTGTTTTGCATACGACACTGGGTATATTTACTTCTGCCATTTCTAAAGAGATACCTGGCGGTAGGTATTAAACGCTTGGGGTAGAGGTTCCATGAAGACAAAATTCAGCAAGGAGGCCGATAAGAAAGAAAAGCGACGAAATGATAAGCTGCAACCAAGATACGCAAATCGGATCAGGGAAGGAATTGCAGCCAAAGACAGCGGATCGCTGAAAGCCGGCTAAACAACCGGTAAAAAAGACGACACAGTAAAGCCAAACGTCAGGTTCGATCGGAATAAAAAAGGATAAAAGGAAAGCGGTAGAGCTGAAACCGCTGAATGCGCTCTTCGGATGATTGGATGGAGACCCGAGTACACCTATGCCAACATTCAATCATTGTGTTTAGCTTAATGGGTTCAATAACCTAATATGTAAGGACGCCGCCTCACTGTTATGGGTAAAGGAAGTGGTTTCAAAACTTCAAGGTCTGTGGGAGGACCCGTTCTGGAAAGAGCGGACCGTAGTTGCATTCCGTCCATTTTGGAAGGATGCACTGCGGCTCCTCAGAAGACAAAATCCTGATGTGCAAACGGTAGATTAGAGGATATCCAACTCCAGCAAGGAGGATGGGAGCCAAGACTACATCCACCAAATAAACAAGTCAGCCAATGATATACTTAACGCACGGTTCGCGTAGGCTCAAGAAGCGCAACCCGGCCGACAACAACAAAAACATGGAGCGCGAGGTCGAGAAGGATGTAGGAGAGATACCAGAAGCTACATTATGGTCTGTAATAGAGGGGCCAGAGATTAAACCCGACCCCGTGAAAAAACCCGAACTTAACAGAGATAGGTTTTCAAATATACCTGCATATGAATTGAACCTGCCTCTGCCGAACTACTCCCCAATTTAAAGATAATCGGCTACGAGGCGCCTTTAGTTCAGCAAATGTGGATAGCTTCGCGAAATATAATATTGACACTCCCTACGAAAATACGTAGTCGATAAACAAGTCAACTTTCTGAAAGACAATCCGTAAAAAAAGTGGATTTTGAAGACCACAAAACATCGAAATTAGTTTGCAAGATATTTAGCCACATAAATTTTCTGAAAGCTCAGGTATAATGTACCGGCTGAGAACAATCCTTTATGAAGCACTTGAAAAATACTGGGCCACTTTTTTTTTAAGCAAAAAATTAGATATATCCAAAGATATAGCGAAAGTAAAGTACTCAATAAATGTCTAGTACGCAACAAGCCCATGCTTGAAGATACTTGATAAAATTAACTAATTTTGTTAAATATAAAGTTATTGGTCATTTGAATATGAAATCAATTATAATTTAAATTAAATTGGTTTCTTAAAAACTATATTTAAAATTTACAATTGATTCCTAATTATTTAAATGAAACTAAATATTTATACACATGATTTGCTTTTGTGTAGTGTTATTGCGTTTTTGTTTAATATTTACACACACGCTTGTTATGTTTTAATTATATTAACCGTAGTCTATTGTTTAATGCTAATCAATTCAAATATTGTTTATTTAGTTTTGTTTGAAACTCAATTAATTTACTTAATTTTTAACTCAATTAAATAAATAGTAGTACAAGCGGGCTTTAGTGTACGGGCTATGTACTCTTATTTACTTACTTTGTTGTAATATGCATATAAAAAAAATTAAATTACATATAATAACGTACAACCATAATGTTTATTTATTTGCTGACCGAAACTTGACTGTTTGTGTGTGTGTTTAGTTGTATTAGTTAAGCAATTAGATCACTTATACACTTTACTATTTTCTGCATTCATTAAATTCATTTGAAAGTGTGTTTTGCTTTTCATAATTAATTTGCATAATTTTATTTAATTCGTTATTTCGCTATGTCTTCCATATCATCATCCCCTCTACTGTACTCACTTACTCCACATACTCAACTTTAACAAATGTACCTACGCAAAGTGTGTAAACTGAGCTTGCTCTTCTTATAAAAGCTGCAAGTATAATTTGCAGCCATTTCATTCTTGCTTAACGTGTTTTCTAATCCAATTTTGTATTTGCCTTTAATTTGTTTTTCTTTTCGTGCTTTTTTTTTGTAGTTTTATTAAAACATTCGTGCATTTTAAAACATTTAACATTAATTATATTTATTTTTATATTTGGTTTTCATTTTAGTTCATGCTTAGTTTTACTCTCACATAGGTATTTTACTTAATAGCTGACTTAAACCTCTAGGTTCTTTAGAATTTCATTGTGTCTGTAATAATATTAATAATAATCATTAATTCTAGTATAACATATAACTAAGTATATGGTTTCAATATTTATTTACTTTCAGTTTGGTTTTTGTAATCGCATATGATTTATATATTATATGTACATATGCACGTATAGATGTGTGTGTTTTATATACTTGACGATATACTCGCATATTTATTTATATATAATTTATATATATGTATGTATATATAAATTTGTTTGTAAAACCGTTGGAGCTTTTGTCTAAAACAAGTCCCCAGAAATGCTTTAATATCCTTTTTTTCTTTACACTAATTTTGTAAACTTTTGGAAGTAAAACTATGTTGGAAACTGAGTTATAAGAATTATTGCATTATTTTAATTTAAAACTATAGTAAATTTGTTAAAGTAATTCATTGAGCTTTGTTTTTAACTTCAGCAATATAACGAAATAATACTAAATTAAATAAACTTAAATACAAACTAAAAAAAAGCATATACAACTAAATAAAGGCTAATAAACAAGTCAATATATTTTAAATATCACTACTGATCTTAACAAAATCAACAAAAATATTTTAACTTTTCTCAAAACTTAAATATATAACACAATGTTACTTTAATAAAACAAAACTTGAAATTTAATATAAAACTATGAATTAAACGTACCGAACATCGAAATTTTCATTAATTAGTAATATAGCACATTAAAATTTAGATAAAATTCAAGCCAAATTGCAATAAATTAAAAAAATTCAATATTAAATTGGCGTTGCTTCTGTTGAGTGGAATAAAAATTGTCAACAACAATCCCATAAAGTATAATATAAGTATATAATATTCGACCGATTTAATCTAACAATTGAATATGGTGCCACTACTAGACAATAAACATTCATTCGGACAGTTTCTCTCAAATTTTGAGTAACGGTGACAATACTCGTATATTACAATCAACTTTTGCATATCCTCAGGAAATTGAAGATGACTAATAACTTCCTTATTAATGGAAGATGCCCGAATTGAGGTTCTATTAACCAGAGCGATAAGTAACTTATTCCAGAGACTAGATACAATGAAATATCTTACTCGTTCAAAATTTTGGTACATCAAAGGCTGAACTACTGGGAAGGGTTCAGAAAAAATGTTGGGAAATCAGAGCTAACTTCAGGTTAATTTCCATTTTTTCGCTAAAAGCTGATGCTGCTATGTATGATCTGTATGTTCTGAGCTACACATATAACGAGCGAGGATAGGTTGAGAGAGAATTAGATTTCATTTAATTTCATTTTCTCAGGAACAGAAAACAGTTTATTTGCACAGGCGGAATGCATGTTTTCCCAAACAGCTTCGAGGACGCGCTCGTTGAATAAAATCGATATATATTTAGCTGACATTTAAAAAAAAACACGCCTTTCATAAACACATTTGTTTTCGTTTTTCACAAAAACGGTATGATATTAAAATGTTAATAAATAATAATAGTAACACTTTGCAAATTATTGAAACTGAAAATCGAACACTCTCCTGCTCTTAACAAAATACTCGCAGCTGAAAAAATACACAATTTTAATTAAAAAAATTATATTTAAAAAATTTTAACGAAATTATTTTTATTTCCCTAAAAAAAGTGCTTCTAAAAAATATGAAAAATGCTTTAGAAACAGGGCTCCGAAACCGATGAGCTGCTTATTTTGTTCTTGTATCAATAATTTCTTTGTTTTTTTTTTTGTAAATTTTTCGCATATTTTCTTTTATTAAAAAGTTTTCTCACATATTTGGTTTTTGTTCGAAATTTCTAAGCGCTTAACTGTTTTATATTTTTTTCAACTTCACTGCAACTAAAAATATTTAATTTTATATTTACTTAATTCATTTTTAATAACCGTTTACTATATTAACTTAGACTTAATATACTATATTATAAATAATTTTATCACCGATTTTTTTCATTTTCTTAACTATTTTACTTAAGTTATGCTTTTTCGAGCTTTTGTTTTTCTTTGAAAGTGTTTTATTTTTGTTTTAACAACTGTATTCCCTTTTCAATAATATTGGTTATATTGTGAAATATCACGCTTGTTATAGTGTACTTTATTTTTTTCTTTTTTCAATTTAATGGCTTTAATTATATGGGTAAATATGTATGTGCTAGGGTTGCTTGTGTGTGTGTATGTGCTTAGTAACGCACCAGCCACTCAATTACTGGTAGCTAAAGTATTTTCCCTCCACTTTTTGGTTTATTACAAGTATTTTGTGGTGTGGTATAAAGAGAATATAAAGGAAATTCTTTGACATTGTCTTATAAGATTCCCTTTCGGAGAGCTGTGCTGCAGTAGAAATTGATTTCACTTTTTTTCTTCGATCTTTATGTTGTTTGGTTTATAAACATGGGTGGTTATATAATTTTATCTTCACGTAAATAAAAAAATTAAAATTTTTTACTTCCACTATGCAGTTAGGGTCATTGTTAAGTCAAATAAATAATATTGAGGGAAGGTATGTTTTGGTTATTAAATTATAATATTGTAAACATAATTTTATTTGAATTCATAATATAGAATCAAGTTTCTCTAATTTATTAAATTTTGCCGAACCAAATATTATATTCCTTCCAAGGTTGCAAATAATGAATTAAAAAATTAATTGAATTAACATTTGAATTAAAAAACATTTTTTTTTTGTAATCACATATGCGGGATTTTCTCGTACAATAAAAGTTTTTTGGTTCTAAACGATAAATAAATAAAAATAACTTAGAAAATTTTTCGAAATTCGAAAATTTTGGAGTTCTTGTTATTAATATAATTTAGTGTATCGAGCTTTTCGACCATCGAAAAAAGCAGGTATACTTGAGAGATTTTGTCTCATATGTTGTTCGATTCACTACTTGAGGGTTCAGAGACAGTTAAAATAAAACAACTACATAAATAAAATGTTATACTCCTAAAATACAGTCAGTAAATATAAATGAAAATATTGCTTTCTCTTCTACACTTTGATTATTTTTCTTTAGAATTTCAAGGTTTAAAACATGTAATGTAGTTCAATAAATGAAATTTCAGTACACTAAAAGGAAATATTTGTATAAAAAACTACGCTCATAATAAAAAAATTTGTTATCCGCAATATTTTTTGTACGTCAAATTAAAAACTTTTGAAAAGATAAATCTACACACACCCATACAGGTTTATATTTAATGTCTTGTGTTCATATAACATCAACGCTGCATATAATGCATAAATTATTATATGTAACCATATGTATTTGTGCAAAACGACCGCTATGAAAATCAAATTAGGAAACCTTATGAAATAATTGTACAACTACCTTAAAAGTGTACGTACATACCATATACAATATATATATATACATATATTTACATATATATATATATATATATATTTACAAACCAAATATAAGTAGTTAATTAGCTAATACTTTAAAATATATTATTACTATTGTATGCACTTATCTATAATTCTATTTTTACACATAATTTCTGATGCGTTTAACGCTTTTCTGAGCGTTAACACTATTTTGGACTAAGCATATATAAAAACTGTTTATTTACAACTTACTTATGACTACATATGTAATATGTACGAGCAAATACTTTAGGCTATGTACTCAAACAAAAGGGAAAAATATTAAGATAAGATAAAACAATAATACAAAATTTATTTTTTTAGATCATATAGTTTTTGAATAGTCCTTTGGACAGACAATATACTTTATAAATCACTTGTTTACAGGTCTCAAGCAAAAACTGATATTCCGGTAAGTAACGTATGTAGTACATGGCATAGTGCCGAACTCTGACGCTACTTAGACATTCGTGTATAAGTATTTTCATGAATTATGAACACACCAAAGGAATGAAAACACTAAAGCAATACATACACTACTGCTTCCGAACTCAAGGTTGATAATCAACTTCGTTGTACACTAGTCCGTAATAAGCATAATGCAAGCATAATGCAATAGAACATTTTTTTTGGTGTACAGGTAAACAAGCTTAGGGCTTAGAAAAAAAATTTTAATTGAACATATGGAAAACCTTCTAGAATGTTTGCGTTGAAAAAACTGGTTTGTTTGCGATGAAAAAATGAATTGCTAAAATTAGTTTAAAAATGTCTTTTGAGTAGTCGAATTTATGCGTAACGCTAATATCCGATTGACGTAGAAAATTTCTTTCAGTAGAGATGTTCTTACACTTCTTTCAGTGACGATAAAATTAAAAAGTCAAAGAAATTGCTGTCGGAATTTTCCAGTCAGCATTGTGTAAATTGCTATCTCCATATCTAAGGTAAAGTTATATACTTGAACAATTCGCAAAAAACACTTAGAGTATATACCAAGTAGTTACGGAAAGAGAAATTTAAAATAGAGACAGATAACTTTCGCCAGTTTCAGAAACGATGGTGAGTATTTGTGTCTGCAATGGAGAAGCAAATCACTCTCTTCATTTCCGTACACAAAGTATTTGGAGCCATTCGCGTAAACGATGAATATCGAAGATGAAAACTTTAGGTTTCGTATCAATCGAACCAACTTAAAATATATATTAAATATAGTCAATTTCAGACATCTTCGGAATAATTATTTAGAAATACAAACATTGAATTTTTATTATCAATAAGTGTATATATTTAATCAAAGCAAACAGCCTAAATAGCTTTTAATAAAACTAAAACCGAAATTTATAATACCTATATAGTAAATTACAAAAACAACTACTTTCCGTGAATGAGTATATGTATAAGTAAGTAAGTATACACACTATAACTATTTTATAGTAAAACTTATAGTTTTACATTAAATTACACATGTATTTAGTTGCGAAGTTTTGCTCCTACTCAAGTTTTGTCTGTATTTATATTTATTTCATTGTTTTTATGTTTATTTGGTTATGTTAAAGTAGTGCCAGTTGGTGTCCGCTTAATGTATGATGCGCTGTGATCGCAATAATCATTAATGGCATTGCTGGAACTACAATAGTAGTGAAAGCGTCGGAACTGTTTTGCAATGCAATATATGTGCTGTGCTTAGTGCTTTGTTTTTCAGATTTTAGTTTTGCAGTTTTTTTAAGCCAGCTTGATCAAACGCTTATCCAGCACTTATTGTTGTTGTGGCTAATAGATATTAAATTAATTTTGTGTGTCGCTGTAAGTTTTTAATTTTTCTCCGTTACCAGTTCAGTTTTGTGTACACACACACTACTATTTTTTATTTTTTAATTATATATAATTGTTTTGAAGTATATTTTGCTTGTCCTTTAAATTTTTTAAGGTTTATTTGCGGTTTTTATTTTATTTTATATACATATATATGTTTCTATTTTTTTTTTTCTTTGTTTGGTAAGTATATGTGTAGGCAGTTTTATTTAGTCCAGAATTTCTGTTTAGAGGACCGTTTTTTTAATATTACTCAAGTTTTTTCGTGCACCTTGAAAATGCCGTATGCATTTATTTTCTGAATTTTTAACTCTTTTATTTTACTTTTTACAACATTATAAATTAGTCTGTTCAACAACTCACTACTTCATGCTGCTACAGCAATTTTGCTATAGCAATTTTGTTTTCGTTTTTATGTGTTTTTTATTTTTTTGGTTTTTCTTTATATAAAATAGTATATGTACACACATTCAAGCCGTGTTGGGTGCTATAAAAGTGAGTGAAATTATTCATAGATTTATCTAATGTGTGTGCAGAGATATTTTTTTCACATAAAACCATTCGCAATTACAGCAAAACATCGCTTTTATTTTTAACTACTGTAACTGCTTTGGTATTTACGTGTAAAAGTATTGTAAAAATAAAAGTTTTAGTTAGCGAGTTTTATATATAATTATAGTAATCATATATACATACTGGCATATTTAGTTATTAGATACATGGTGTTTACACAAAAACCTATACATACTCATTGTCAGTTGGTTTATTAAAGTAATTGGTTTAGTACTGTCACTTGCAATGTTTGCAAATATTTATGTTTATATATAATTAAACTTTTTTTCAACTTTTCAACACGTAAATATTACGAGTATATTGGGATATTGTTCATTTGCGTTTGGGTATACATACAAATACATACATATATAGGTTGGAAGGGGGGGGAGGGGGAGTTATGTCAAGTTTCATATTTAATAGTCTAACACTGGTGCTGATTATTACGTTGCGATTTACTAAAATACAGTTATTATTTAACAGCTCTCTTTTATTTCTATAATTTCGCCGATTTTGAACTTTTCGTATTTTTAGTTTTCATTAATTCGTAGTTTAAGGGGTGTATGTTTGCTTGTAAGAACCCAAAAATGAATTTAAAAAAATTTTGTATTCTCTAACAAATTAATTATTTTATTCTCATTTAGTAGCTATGACTTGAGATAACTCTAAGTAACGCTAACTTAAATTTATTGCATATATGCTGACCTTAACTACGCATACTCATACTTTCGTCTATGTGTATGTGTATGTGTGCGTCTTCCGCCGTGACGTCCAACCGTTTTGTGCTAATTTAAGAAGTTTCTTTCTTTACAATTTTAAAAAATTTGGCAAATAGTTTTGGAAGCGCTAAAGTGTAAAAAATTTATAAGTTTGTATTTACAGAAGTATTTAATATTATACACAATTTAGCTAACTGTTTCAAAATTTGTTAATAACTCTAACAAAAACAACACAGAAGCATACAAATTTCAAGCAACAGAGTATAAATAAACTTCTAATTAATAATACAGTTATTTCTTCGTGTATTAAAAGTGTTATCGAACTTGTGTTTGTGTGTGCCGATGCATTTTTTATTAAATAATTGAGCTTATTCTCGAGTGCATATATTTTGCAGTAATTTAATGAGTGTGTCTTGAAATATGTGTTAATTTAACGAGTTTTTCTTGAAACTAATTATTAATATTAATTATGAACTAATTTTAAAAATGAGAGCTTTTAAAATGTCATCCAAACTTTAACACACACTTGGTTAGTTGGTTTGAAAAGGAAGGTCGAAAGAATGCCTCAATTCAAGCAGCCGCACATACACCAGCATTACTCTCATTGCCTTTCTCGTAGATTTGATAAATTTGTGTTGACACACACTTAGATCTTACTAAATTTTCTCTGCATGTGTTGAAAGAGAATGCTGTATTTATGTGCGGATATTTATAAGATAACGAGCACTTTGAGCAATTGATCCTATTAAGAACGTACAACAAAAAAATTATTACTACACCCCATATCTGCATAATTTTATTCGGAATGTGGATAGTGATCAACACTTCCAGCAAATAGCTGCGGAAAGAGTTAGAAAGAGTCACTCATTCAGAGTTATCAACATATTTACGTCTATGTAACTAGTGGAAAGTGCTCTAGATGCATTAATATTGCTCGGAAGGAGTATTTGCAATCTGAAAAACGACGATATGGAGTTCGGCCTCTTCGACTCAACAGCTCAACAACTACAATCGTAACTGCAACTGTTTTTTCATCTATGTGACTAGTAAAAAAGACTTTGCATGACTGTTATCGCTTGCAGTTACAATTTTCACAAGCAAATCATTTTACTCTGTGTGTCATTATTTTTATAAACGTTAACCCTATATTCAAACCTATACCAACAGTGGCTCCAGAATTTTAAGTAACGATGTTCACAACAATCAAGAAAGAGCATGAAAATGATGATTATGTAGCATACGATTCGGCGCTATTGATTACATAGGATTAATCGTGTAAATAGTTTATAAACTTTTGTGATTTAATTAAAAATATATATTTTCGGCTTTCGTTGTTCGGAATTATTAAAAATACAACAATTACCATCTGTGAATTCACGCAGCTATAATTTATCGAGATTAAACCGAAAACTTTTCTTCGTTTCTAAGTTCAATTAATTAATAAAAAATTATAACGGCAACTTGATTGCATTCCTTCGACACTAATTTTTGTATAGTAGTTTACGTTAGTGTGTGGGTGTTTATTTTTATGGTAATATGAAAGTGTGCTTGGTTTTTTTTTTCTTTCTTCACATTTTTAACTAGTAATTATTAATTTGTAAATTATTTTACGCATTTCACTGGCATTTCGTTAACTACTTGTAATGTTTCCATTATTGTGTGCACCGCTATTTTCATATTTTTTTTATTATTGTAAGTATTTTGAGCTTTTATCGCTTACAATAGCATTGAGTTTATGCTTAATTTGTTCCATACAACTTCATATCTATTAATGAGCTCTAGCACTGCGCTGATTATTTACTCGTTAGTGAACTATAATATGCCTATAAAGTATTTAGGTTTTTTTCGAGTGTATGTGCATGACTTTACTGTGTACGAACGTTGACATGCTTTGCTTTAGAATTTAACTGATTTTAATTTTGATTTTCTTTCCGTGTTTCCCCTTTACTAGTTATCTATTTATTCATGTTTTTTAATTATAATTATTATATTGCACAGTATAAATTATTATTAATTGTTTAACTAATACCTTCGTCGTCTCTTGACTGTTTTTGCTAATACATATTTACTCTAACTTCACGTGCGTGTATTATTTGTTTAATAATTATGCTAGTTTTTTTGTTTTGCTATGCTGTGTTCACTTAAAATATAAACTTAACTAAACTATTGCGAATCGCCTTCTGCTATACTACCTGCTTACGCTGCGCTTGCCTCCGTCTTCTGGCGGCGCACCTACAAGCTGCCACTGCTACCTTCAACCAATGCTTAATAATAAGCTTATGTGCTAACTGTCGATTGCTTTACTTCTCCTCGCCCAGCAGCACCAGATCGTCGGCGACCACATCGCTCACATGCAAATAGATGATCCAATACATTAGGTTGAAGCAAACGAAGCACACGGGGAACACTATACGCGAATATTTGTCAATGTCTGAAGGCGTGATGCCCAGCAGTTTGTTGATATCCTGTTCGATTTGATTTAATTTTTTTTTTTTCATATTCAAGAAATTTTTAATAAATATTAGGAATTATGAAGAATGAACAGAAAAAAAGAGTGTGGAAGAGAGAGAAATAAATGATTAGAATGATCACACAATTCTTAATGTATTGATGTTTGGGTTGGAAATTACTTTTTTTACCTTGCCCGGGTGTAATAAATGGGATGGTACTGCCGCTTCGGCGTCCCCACCTTCGGGCGCTCCACCTCCACCGCCACCACCGCCGCCGCCGCCTCCACCGCCACCTCCTTGTGGTCCAGGTCCGGGTGGTCCAACCGGCGGTCCGCCACGTCCACCATTCACAGTATTCTCCAGTGTACCGCCCTTGGAGTGTGCCTTGGGGTCGTGCACTTTGAATCTCACCTCCTGGAACAAGGGTCCCACTATCGAGCAACCGCGCGAGCCAACGTTTTGTTGTATATTTGAAAAGCCAATTGGTCGGTTACTCACTGTTTGTTTTGGCGCATGAGGATGACCATGGCTATGGCCATGACCATGCCCATGTCCATGATCGCCCGCACTCGGATTTGGATTGGGCGGTGGTTGCACCCCATCCAGTTGCTGCTTTTTTTGTTCAGCTATCTTTTGGATCGCCATAAATCTTTGTTTTCGCATTTGAATTCGTTTTGCCATATAGCCGACGGTGGCGTATTCTATAGATTTTGTATTTTTTTTTTTAATTTTCAAATTTGTTTTTCATTTGAAATTTGTTCGATCATCAAATAGTATATTCAATTATAGTTTATGACATCAATAAGTATTGAAAACAATTTATTGGTAATAAATATCAATTGATAAATGATATGGTAAGCAAGCATTGGTTGATAATTTTGAGCAGATTTCGATTGCGTTTGGATTTTCGATTAATTCATTTCGATTTTTCAATTTGTTTGGAATTTGAATTTTTGATTTCAATTAATGAAAAATAAAATTGATTTATTTTGTAAAATTCGGATTGTGTTTTTCAGATTGTGCGGGGAGCAGGAGCATAAAATGGAAAAATAGAAGAATAGAAAATTAAATAATACAATAAATAATCTTGCAAATTTATATTAGCTAATTATGCAAAATGAAAAAAGGGCACACTAAGGTATTCGTGTTTACTTAAAGTATATACAATATACAGTAGTGAAATAGAAACTTTGTTAAAGGACTGGAAGATTTTTATATATCATATTGTTACTACTTGATTCGTGTAAGAAAAAGCTAATTCTTGCATATACATAAACATGGAATGATGAGATTAGTTTTGGCGAATCAAATTTTAATTAAACACAATTTGTTATTATATACGTATATCTTATTGCAACTTCCATAAGGGTGAACTAAAAACAATAAATTAAATTCGCTATTTTCTATTAAAAATATAAATGAATCCCTCTAGCTTCAAGTCTAAATATATTTATCTATATTTTAAAAATGTTTATAATCATATATATTAATAAGTTCGGAAGTAAGTAAAATTTTCACAAATTAGTCAATAATTAATTTTTCTTTTACACTTTTTTATACCTTTTTCTAAAAAAAAATCTATATAAATTAAAAGTCTAAGCCTTTGAATATGTGAAGTTTTCCAGCTGCATTTGATATAGATTCAACTGCAATTTCAATCTATTTAGTAATGGCAACATTTAAACCAGACCAGAAAGACGTAGCTAAATTGAGATTTTTTTCGATATATTTTGAGGAATACCAACAAGAATATTTTATTTCGGGCAAATTTGGTAATTTAGTTAATAAACACTATGTCAAAGCCGTCATATATATTGGGAGCATATAAAAAATTTAAAACAAAGTGGTATTCAGAAGCGTTACAAATATTTACTAATTTTAATGTCTGTTAGGCATTCTTTCACTATCTTTGATGAAATCCTAGAAGACTTTAGTTATTTCAAATCAGCAGCGCTATCAGTATATATACCTAAAAATTTCTCTAGACTTTATTTAATTGCTGTGATATCCGCACCGCAGTGGTCTGGTAGTCTTAAGGTGATTCCAGTATTTAATTTCGCTGAAAAGACACCACCTCCCACGTAACTATCAAGTTTGGACCCATCCGTGTAGATCTTTATTTTTATGTCCCAGTTCACCTCACACCTATCCTGTTCATTTCTTGAACGATCCTTGATCATCTAGTGGATCTAACATCCTATTCCTCGATAAACCTGCAATGGGTTCCAGGGCATAGTGATATTTCTTGCAACTTCGAAGCAGATAAACTAGCCAGAGCAGGCAGTACGCTGCAATTAGACTTTCCAGCTCAATCAACATGTCATAGATATAGCTGAGTCTGTCCCTAACTTGCTCAACAAGTAGACAAACTCGGCATGAGTGAAATATGAACTGTACATGCCGACTATTAAAATTCAAAAGTAATAACATAAGAATTATATTAGAAGTGGTAACAGGTCACTGTCTAGTTGGCAGACATGCCAATAGATTGGGGATACCATACAACTATTATTGTAGAAGCCGCCAAGAGGTAGAAGAAGATGAGACTATGGAACATCTTCTATGCGAATGCAAAGTTTTGTATAGGAAAAGAATCGTAACTATCTGTCAAGTGTTTCTTAGCTATATCTCAGAAGTTGCGCATATAAAAATCTTGTATTGATGAACTTCATAAGGGGGTTTTTTTCGGTGGTTTCAGAATGGGGTTCCTAAAGGCCTGGGTGCGTCGTCAGACATCCACCTCACCTACCTACCTTGTATATTATGCCGACACAATATTGTTTCTCTTTACTGTTTTAAATTGATTTTCATTGCACTAAAAATCATTAAATCACTATGCAAGAACAAACTATCAGTATATTGTCATATTATATAAATAACTCAAACAATAATGGTATATTACATAATGACACTATCAACTACATCTTCTAATTGAATCGGTATATTTATTTTCAGGTGGCGACTAAAACTTTTATTAATATTAATATATAATAAATTTTAATTAACGCAGCGATTACGTAGAGCTAAAGTGTTAGCAACCGTATAAGTATATGATTATCAATAGTACCACTATCGAAGTTCAACCATTGCATAAATCATTTCTACTGAAGAATTTATAATTTGAACTGATATTTCTTACCGCCAAAAAGAGCTCAAGAACAAGAAACGATCTTTAGTATGAATGTTACATTTAGAGAGATGCTGCTTATTGTAGATTAGTACAATAGAGTAATGGACTTAGTTTTATATTGACTGATCATCTTTTGCTAGCAATCATGCGTAAACTCAGGAAATATTAGATAAATTCATCGAGTTTCTTCTGGAGAAAATTAATGTGTATTAAATGAAATCGAACTCGAAAGTTAAACTATGCAATCTGTTGGAAGTAGATGTACGGGATTAGCTTTGCTCTGGTAAGAAAGAAATACTCCTTGAAGTTATTTTTATAACATGTGTCAGTTAGTTACCATATAAGATTTAATCAATCTGAAATATAAGCTGTCTTCAATTCACTAAACGTTTGATGGTAGCGAATCGAACAAACCAGCTATTCCAACAGACTGGCACCACTTAGCTTATACGCAACTTTGTTGTACTTAGCTCTTTGGTAAAGAAATGCTACTTTCCGTGCCAAATTACATATCAGTAACTTCTTTAGGAGAGTTTATGTCTCACGTTTTTTATAAACAGTTATATTTTATTTGAAGTCTTAAGTCGCCTTCAGTTTTTAAAGAGAATAAAAAAATGTATATATTTTCAGTAATTTGCTTTTGAGCCATTCCAAATGGTAAAAATGATTTTAAATTGTGCAAGTCAAAACTTGTTGGCATTAACGCATCCATTTGAATAACTTTGTTAATAATTTTACAAAAGAAAAAAAACAAATTATTACAAGAAAGCAGCACGCTAACAAACCGAGCTGAGAAATGGCGAATTGAAGATAGTTAATATTAATATTTGCATATTAATTGGCTCGTGTAAGTTTTTGTACATACACCGGTGACATATGGTATGCTTTGTGTGACGTGTTTGAAATCAGGCTGCTTCGCTTTGTACCAAAGTAAATGCATTTGTATTTATATATTATTTATTGGAATTGAAGTCAAAAATTCTACGGGTTTATATATATAATATATAATATGTAGATATGTTTATATGTCTACTACTGTTTTTGTATTTAACGTGAACGAAAATAATATGTTTAGGTTTAATTTACTTCAATTTATTCGATAAAAAATTAATATTCGAAAAATCCGAACAATGCAATTCAACAATTAAAAAACCTATCTCATCATTCACATATTTTAAATGGTGCAGAGTTCTATTGGACTTTTAAAGCTACTTAGTATTCTATTCACAACATTAAAGGCATAAATAAAGCAATCGATTTATATACAAATTTTCTGCAAATGTAGATAAGGCAGTAAGTGTGTAATTTATATAAAACAATACATTAATATAGAGTTGTGTTTGTGTTATTAAAAAATAATCGTAAGCCAAACTATTATTTTAAATAATCACAAAATAATTTAATTATTAAACATGAGAATTATTTTATTAAAAACATGAAGCAAAATTTATGTGGTTTTAATTTGAAACTTTTACTGTGGGTGAATTTTATTTCGATTCTTCTCTTTTTAATATTATCATTTTAAGAAAATGCATTGTTATGTTTGCTGAGCTGCACTTTGCTGGAGTGTGTTCAGCCTACATTACAATTTAAATGCATCTTTATCGAACAAGCACTTGTGTAAGGGACGTAAAGCATACCTGGATTTATAAGTATACAAGATGGTATATAATGAAATGTGTCAATGCAAAAATAAACAAATAAGTGATTAATTAAATAAAGCATATATTAAAAGGAATGGTATATTATCAGTGGCACTATAAACTACATATGTAGTTATGGATTCACTTCATATATTTAGGTTGAATGTGGCAACACCGCCAACAAAATACGTATACGTACGATATTTTAATAGTTTTTGATACCAACATATTGTTATCAGATATTATTTAGAGTATTACTTACCTGTCGCAACTTAGTAAAAATAATCAGTAAATTGAATTAAATTAGCTATATATGTAATATATATGTTTGAAGGAGTTAGACCATTCAAAGATTATACAAAACTCGAAAATCTGTGATGTCTGAAAGCACATTTTAGTGTTCTTTAAACATTATTCAGTTCGTAGAATAGTGCAAAAAATTTACTTTCCTATTTTATGCGTTGTAGTGTCGAAGCATTTGTCACTGTCGGCAAAGTAATATTATCTAGTAAACTACAACTCGAGAAAAAAAAATAAGATCGAGAAAATTTATATCAGGTACATACCATATATGCGGCCAAAGGGAAGTAAGGACCCAATTTTACCCATTATTGGATAAAATACTTTGAGCGCACTATTTGTGCAAAGTTTAATTCTGACAACTTCATCCATATTTGATTTGTACATATACTGCAAGGTGTAATAATCAGATGGAATTTAAAAGTTTGTTATATAAGAAGAACACGTGATTGTCATCCGATTTTGCAATGTCTAGGAATGTTTGTGTAATCTCACATGCCAAATTTGATTGAAATCGTTCAAGTAGTTCTTGAGATATAGGATTTCACCTAAAGGTGGGCGGTGCAACGGCCAAAGTCCAATTTTTACAACTGCTTCTATATGTCATCTTGGCTATGAAACTTAAAGCTTGTGGCACATTTATTCAGCGAGTTATCGTAATTTTAGTAATTTTTAACATTACCGTTAAATGGAGAGTGGGCGTGGTTAATAACTGATTTTATACATTTTTACAGAGTTATAAGAAGTACTAAACGACGTTTTCTCATTAGCTATAGCAGTTACGAAAATATGAACATAAAGCTATTAAAAAATTGTTTAGTCCAAAGGTGTTTTTGGCTACTGCGCTCTCTCCTCTCTTCTAGTGCTTAGTTATGGCACTTTATTGGTTTTCTTTACTGTCGTTTACTGGTCTTGACAGTGGTCCGATTACGCCCATCTGCAACCTCCCATCTCATCTCAACCTCCTTCGTGTGCCAGGGAACATATGCCGCAAGTCTCATCGCAACTTCTCAATTTTAACTCAAGTTATCGCTTGCACGGACAGATGAAGGGAAAGACAATCTGAATTCAGCTCATATCGTCTTCATGATCATTTGGATATACATATATTTATAACTTGATATATACAATATCTCAATTAGTTTTTGGTGATACAAGCAACCGCTAGGTGAGCAAAACTATTGCACTCTGTAGCAACATGCTGCAAGTGTATAAAAAGCTTCAACACCAGCTGCAAGGAAGCTATAATACCCTTCACACGTGCAACCAACGATCACTTTGAATGATAGCTATAGTGGTCCGATCTGTATTGTCTTGGACAATAGTTCAAGCAAAATGCCGTGAAGATATCTTGTCAAATAAAAGAATTTGTCATTAAAAGACTTGAAGATTTTGACCGATTAGTTTGTATGGCAGCTATTAGCTATAGTAGTCCAAAATCGGCAAACAAATAAATAGCCTCTTGAGGATGTATGCAAAGTCTAGCGCGATATCTTAACTTAGGAACTAGTTCGGGTGTATAAAGACCTGCCGGTATAATGAAATCGGCGCGACCGATCTCTATTTACTTTTTCATGGCTAATTATAGTTATATTGCGGGCAAAGTTAGGCAGCTCATTAATTTTGAGAAATGGCCCAGTCAAATGACCGCTAGAAGCATGCGATTTAATGCCTCCAGATTATTTTTTCTGGGGGTATGTTAAAACAAAGGTTTATTCCAATTAACCAACAACACTCGAGGAGCTCGTAGACAACATTTAGCGCATTATAGCCGAAATTTCAGCCAAAATAATGTAACAGGTCAGCGAAATGTGGAAACGGCTGGAGATATGCAAACGGAACCGTAGTGGCCAGTTGGCCGATATTTTGTTGAAATCATAAATGGCATAAAATTAACTGCTTAATAAAAGAAAAAAACATAACTCATTAATTTTGAGTGTTTTATTTCATTTAAGCATCACGTCGTTTTTGTTGGTAGACCCTATATGTATGAAATTATCTTCAAAGTGTTAATCATTTAAAGGTAGCAAACTTTAAGAACCAAAATAATGGCCTTTTCCTTAGTTTTTTCGCTATTTATTTGAAAAAAAATTAATACGAAACTGTTCTGTTATTAGATCGATGCTTATATGCATACAAATCAAATTGATGATTAAAATGCTGTCATTGCAAAAAGTACGAAAGAAAACATTTTCTTCTTCTAAAAAAGTAAAATCTGAATTCGTTATATATAAGTATATAGTTTTCTATATACTGTGATATCAACTGATTATTTATAATTTACCAAGAATATTGGATCTGGCGATACGTGAAGGCGAGACGAAATATCTTAGGCACTGTTACCCGACATACTTTGGCCAGCATAAACACCATACGAAATGTCAAGGGTGGTGTCTTAAAATACAGATTAAAATGTCAGCAAAAACCAAATATTGACTCTTATGTTATAGTTTTGTTGCAAAAACATTGCAGCAATGATTTAAGTAGGTTTAGAGAATTATTACGGTAATAGTCATTAATAATTGATAGAAAAAACTATAGTAGCTTGTTGATGAAATATAGAAGCAAATTGCAAATTAAATTACGAAGCCGACATTGTAGTTCTTTTAGAAACAATCTTAATACAATTAAATTTTTATGTTCTTTGGGATGTCGACCTTTTCGTCTTAATTCAATTTGTAATGTCATTTCTTAGACAAAATAATATATTTATACTTACCTGAAATTTTGCAGCAATTTTAATCACACCTTTTGGAATCTGAAAAAAACTAAACTTATCAATCAGTACCATAAACCATCAGCTTTCGCGTAATGAAAGCCTACACTCTCAGAATGAAAATATTGTCTTCAAAGCTTTTCATGTGTCATGAATTGACTAGTGCTTTGAGGCATAATCAATTCTTAACACAGAAAAGCTTCCTAAAAGCACAACCGCAAAATTTTTACTCGAGGAACATTCGTTGATATGCGTGAATTCATATTTATTTACAACACATTGTGCCATGTGTGTGACGTAGTGCTCCATACTGTTTGCTTTGCTGTACAACTGTTAAACTGAAGCTGGGCGTATATTAATATCTGGGTACCATTTAGGTGTTTGCTGGTGTCACTAAATATATATGCTGATATATATGTATATAAATTATTGGCGGTGCCCTTATTTTTGCTATATCTGTAGTAGTGGTCTTTGCGATAGGAGAGTGCTAATGTGCTTTGAAATTATTGCCGTCTATGCGCGGAACTTTTCTAACACTATTATTATTGCAGATTGATGTGTACAATAATAATATATTGTTGAAGTGAGTAGTAGTAAAACAAAAATATGTGATTTATGTGAAAAATGCAACAACACAAAATATAAAAAAAAAATGTTACGGTGTATTTATGAATATTTATGGTATGTATTTTTAAGTTTTTTATTTATACCATAAATGTACTTGTAGATGCATGGGGAAGTGATGAAGTGGTAGGGTATATGAATGCTTTACGTTGACCTTACGTTGTGAAAGCGCGTATCAATTAACCTGCATTTATTTTCTTTCAAAATGATAATACCAGCCATTCAATGTATAATTTGCATTGAAAATTAACAATAACTAACAAATACGAAAAAAGAGATTTTTGTTTGGATTGGGTTTTGTTTGTTTAATTTTGTTTGAACTGTTGTGTTTTCTTTTGTTTCAGTAATATTTTTTTGGAGGTGTCTCAATAGTTGATAATAAAGTATTTTTTATTTGTTAATATTTCTGTTAGTTTTGAGCTTAAGGTATATGCATGTTTGTTAATCTGTATAGTAAAAAATATCTTATAACGGTAATTAAGTAAGAAGACGTTTTCAAAGTTATTAAAATATTCATATAATAAATTAAATTGTGTGAAAAAGTTGAAAAGTTGGTGATTAAAAATTCTCAAACTGACAAAAGCGAAAAGCATGTTTTGTAGAAGTTAATAAGTTTTGTAAAAATAATTTGAATATACAGCACACATTATTCTCAAAAATCATTAAAAAATAATTTTTGTTGTAAATATAAAATATGAAATAGTTTTTTTTTAAATTGTTTGTGATAATATCGATTTAGCAAGAATAATGAAAAAGGAAACTAAAATATTTACTTTGAATATATATGATTCAATTTTGACAAACAGACTAATATTTATACACTTTTGGTACGACAAGATGAAACTAGTAAATTATGTGCGTACAGATCTTTATTGATTTACCGCATTAAAGTTAAAAGTTCTTGATAAAGAGTAAAATATTTCACTGCAGTAATTTGCCTAACCCTAAAAGTATACTTTAGACGTGGCATCAACTGTCATAACGTATAACAGTTGTGGTAGTATATAATATACCTATATAATGTATGGTGGTATTATTATACCCCGAACAGGATATATTAAGTTTGCTACGAACTGAAATTTTACACACGTCCTTTTATCTCAAACAAACTGCTCATTTGTCGGAATCAGCAATATCGGACTTTTATTGACAAGACATCTTCAAGAAATTCGGCATGGATTATTGTCCAAAGCAACGGTACAATCTTCCAACCAAATGTTCAGATCGGACCACTATAGCATACTGACCATTAAAAATTAAATTCTTGTTTGAAGACATTTTTATTTGAGTAGGGTATTATAGTTTCAGTGCAACCTAAGTTAACGTTTTTAATTTGATTTTGATATAATTAAAAATATAATATATAAATTGCTAAATTTGAAAAAATTTACTCTACACTAGCGCTCTTAGTATGGTAGCTTGGATTTCAAATTATTCAAATATTCGCAGTAGAACGACGAATTGTATTATTCGATTAGTATTCATACAAATGGTTACAAACCGGGTATTCGAATGATCAGTTTTCAGGTTCAGGTCAGAGCCCTACTCTGCACTCTAAACCCACATAGCTTTATATAATATCACTTCCTTTAGTCTAACAGTAAATTTCACTATAGTTCTTCTAGTGAACGCCCTGCTACAATATTCTAAATTGCATCATACGCTTATCATTACATTGGTTTCCCTGCTCTCGAGCATTGAGTGAAGATCATTGAGAAACTCGAAAAAAATCGGCAGACACCAATGTTTTCCATTCTAATTCGCTCAAAAAAACCCAGTTGTCTGAGTAGATTTCTCACGACATAATAAGTATCGCATCCTACTATACCTGGTCATCTCACGGCAGAGAGTATAATGGTTTAATATTAGCGCAGAAACCTAAAGAACTGAGAACATTTTGACAATTTCATGTTGCATCAAAATTTCTTGTCGTACCAAAAACATATATATACTAAAATATTATTTAAAGCATCTTTGCTAAAATATAGTACAGCTTGAGTCTGTAATAATTGGCAGAATGTGGTAAGAACTGAAAATACAAATTAAAGGCCTGTATGTAATGTAAACGTATGTACATATGCTAGTACGAATATAACGAAACACAAAAGTAATGTACACACTGAGAACATTGTACGAGTTGTATGTGACATGGTTTATTTGATTTTTTATCATTAAATTAGTTTACCCAAAAGACTGGCAAAGACCATAACGAAGCATGTTCCTAGATATACGTCAATCGATTTGACATAAGAAATCTTTGGCAATGCTGCATTTGTTGACGACATCAGTGTGGTCATTGTCAACACGGTGGTAACACCTAGCGCCACACGAGCTGGTGTGGCATTACGATTTAGCCAAAATGATACCCATGATATAATAACGATCAGTCCAGAGGGTATATATATTTGAATGAGATAGTAACCCATCGAACGCACGAACTGTATCTCACATGCGAGTCGCGAGTAATTTCCTGTTAACGAATGTGTTGATAGCGGCATTAACGTAGAGCATAGAGTACAGCAGGCGCGCATGAAGAGAAAGAGAAATATATTAGTAAACTAGTTTTGATAATTGTTTATATGTTTTTTTGTATTTTTGAAAATTCTAAGAAAGTTTCATTGAGAATAACGAAAAATTAATAATTTACTGGAGATATTGCATATCACATGGTTAGTAGTTAAAAATATTTCAATAAATTATAGCAAATAACATTTCAGAAAACTAAGAAAAATTCTGTGTAATTCATCAAAATTAACAAAAACTTCTATATTATGTATGTATTTTTACTTGCATAGAGAATTAATTAACAAAAAAAAAAAATACTTTGGCACTAATATATGAAAGTATATGTTGGAAAAAAGCAGCTGGATTACTTTTCGATGGCAAATATTTTAATAAAATTCTGTAAGGAGTTTCTGTTCCCACACGTAGTTGCATGCTTTCAAATTTGATAAAACAATAATTTATATTTGTTTATAAAGTTTAAAAAATATTTAAACTTTTTTTTGTTTACAGACATTTTACTTGGAATGTTATTATTTTGACTTAGAAATATTGTGCTATTCGAATTCGTTTGCTTTTGCCTATGTGAATATTTAATAAGGTTCATATCTCGAACAATAGTTTAACTTAAATAATGATGTTATAATGTTCATCTCTTTCTTTTAACATTGCTACATATTAAATGTAATCTTGCATGTATATCGTTACTTTCAGAGGGGTTCTATGCGAAAGAGTTCACAAAGCAAGAACAAATCCTAATTTTTGGAATACTTTGAAATCTCCTTTCTTTAGATAAATTTAAGTAAATTTTTTTAATTTTCTTTTCATTTAACCATGAAGAGAAGCAGAGAAACCTATTAAGAGAAAAGTTTTAATTTATTTGAATGAAGTAGAGTGATTTATTTCTCGTGAGAACATATCTTCACGATTTATACTTAATAATTGTTTGGAGTGTTCTAGAGTTTGTGACAGAAGAAGAAGACACTACAAAATGATATTTTATGTTGCTATATTATATTATAAATAATTGAAAATAACATATTGTTAGAAGTGGAAGCATATGCTTATACCTTTTTTCTATACAAATAGTTGAGGCTTGAGCAAAGAGATTGTCTTGACTAAATTATTCCAAAAACACAATATTCTAACAAATACTGCCAGTTATTATTTTTAAAGTAACATGTTAATTTTTTGTTATTTATTATTATTATTTTTTAGGTATGTATTAAAATGTTTGCCATTTGAAAAGCTTTATTCTACAAATATATATCAAGCATACAAAAAACGAATAAAGCTTGCATATAGGTAAATATATAGAATAAATTAACCCATACAGATAATTAAAAAAGAATCAAAACTGTGATAGTGAAATATATTAAGTAAATAAATCAAAATGTAAATAATTTATAAACAAAGATTATAACAAATTTAAACACTATGAAATTCTGCTGCCTGAGGGTATAAAATGAGCAATTGAGGGCAAAAATTCTTATCACTGATAAATGTATGGTTAATGCTGAAGAAGCATAAAATTATATTGATGGGATAAAATAACAAAATATATACTTATGATGACAGCAATGCCACCAATTTAACGAAAAAATATTTTTTTGCTGTTTATTTATTTAAAATTTATTATATTAAAACTGACATTGGAAAAGAAATACTTAGGTTATGCTATATAATTGCTGTAAAAATCTCGTATCATCATTTAGTTATCAAAAATGTAAATAAAATATATGTATAGTGAATGTGAGAAAACTTTAAGGAGCTCGAACTAAAAGCAAATCCTAAGGGTTAATGATTGTTGTAAGTTGTAGTACGAGTAGTAGTAGAAGAAACTTGCAAGTTGCTTCAATTATATATAGTTTTATGATATTGGTTGGCTGTTGTGTTAACTTTATTAAACTTAATTATAACGTTTAGTAACGCTTTTTCGTACGTACTTCGAATTAGAGCGAAAGAGAGAGAGCATGCTTGGGAGGGCGTTTTTATATTAATTATTTTCCATAGTAATTTTGATATCTTTATTATGCAATTATTTTATTACAAAATTTGAAATATTTTTTATTTTTCTGAAATGTCAACTATTGTTTTCGTTTTATTCCATTTTAAATTGCATATTTTTTGGCTACGAAAAAATTCAACTAATTTGCATTAATTCAGATGTTTTTAAATTTAAATATTTCTTTACGCTAATATTGAAATAAAATTGTAAATAAAATCACATAACTTATTTTAATGCAATGCGATATGTTTGGATTCGAATCAAAGTGATTTCAGTATAAATCGATTCATTTTGCGTGATAGGATTAGGTGAACTACAACGGCAGCGTTTTGTTGCTTTAGCGTGGAGTATAGCCTAACTAATTTTCATAGTGTGTGAGCATGTGTGAGCGGAGAAATTAATATATATCTACCATTTTTATATGAATATATATAGCGGTCTTTCGGTTATAGCTAATTTTTGCTTTAATTGTGAGTGCACAAAGAAAGTGTGAAAAATATATATTTTATGAATTAGATATAGTCGGTTAGTATAGTTTCATATTTGGCCATGATACAATTATCGATCTGCTGACACCATAATAGCACTATATATGTATAAATATATGTATGTCGGTATGTATATGTATGTTAAGATTTATACTTTAGTTAATTGCAATTATGGGTTCACTAATTATTAATTGCTGGCTAATTTAATCAAATTTGTTAGTACTCTTAATGGTATTGGAGACGGCTGTGATAGTATACTACATACATACAATTAGTATATATATATATATGTATGTAACTGGCGAATGGTAATTAAACTAAATGTAATATATGTTTGCAGTCGAAACGTACTAAATTATATTTGAAAATTTCAAAAACCAAAAAACAAAAATAATAATAATTTAAAAAAATCGAACTAAAAATATGATTTAAAATCGAGAAAAAGAAATGAAAATAAAAGCGTAAAATATTAAAAAAATATAAAAACAAGAAATATATTTTTATAACTAGTTGTGACATTATGCTAGCGAAACATGCATTAGATAAATTAATATGTCCACTAGTTCAACCTATTCTTTTATTTAATTAGAGTTGTTTGAGGAAAAGCGCATTGAATTCTTTTCAATATTTGATTTTAGTTGTGTATTTCGAATGTCAGAACAAGAAAAAATTGGACAACAAAAAACGTATAGCATTTTAATAAAGCAAGGAGCACGTGTCGTTCATTTTTGAATGCGTACAATTTAAAATTTTTTAGATTATGAATTTATAGACCAACGTGGATAAGTTTTAAAAACAAAAAAAACGTTGCAGAATGAGACCCATCGGAAACGAAAGATAAAATAATAAACATTAAAGAAAAAATTATTTACAGGCGATCTGAGGTCGGGAAAAGAAAAGTTCAAAAACGACTTATATCGATTGCCGGTCAAAAAAAATTAGTTATTTAAATTTTTTACATAAATAATGAGGTTCTGTGAAAAATACAAAAGTTATAGATCTTTTCATTACCTACAACATTGTCATATAATTTTTTTCTATAGGAATCGTAGTTTTGCCGGAAATCAAAATGAACCGTTTTTAACCCTTAAACATTGAGCCACGCCCCTCCCCAACCTCCGATCGAGCATACATTATTTTTCTTTTAGCATCTGTTAGTTTAACTTTCGTTTCCGTTACTGTTTCAAACAACTATTAATTTCTTTCTTTTTTAGCATTTTCAAAGACTGCTGCACTACTCTATTAAGCAAATACAGACACATCTTCAATACATAATTGTATTAGAAGTCAAATTGAAAACCAATTCAATTTAAAAAAGGTAAATCGCAAATAAATGTTAATTAAAATTAAAAGTCGCTAATTATTAAAATTTTTTTTTAATTAGAAATCGCTAGTAAGTTACATATTTATGCATGTTATTTAAAGCTTGAGGTACATATAAGTAGTACATAGTATGTATGTATTGAGCAATGCGTTGTGAGAAATAGAGATGCAAAATTAATTCTTTTTAACGTTATTTTATTTTTTGTTTTTTAAGTTTCCTATTTTTATTTTTTAATTGCTTGATTTTCAAAATATTTATTTATTATGTAAATGATTACACTTGTATAGCATATATTAAAATCGAACAAGTATAATTGCATAAGAGTACGAGTATGATTATTTGTAAGGAAAAAACATGCGATAAGTTGGGTATAAATACAACTGCACGTTAAGTTAAGTAATTTATCAGAAAAATGCAATTATTTTCCTCAAGTTATTATTATTATAATTTTTTTTTTGTTTGCGCAAATATTTACATATTATCAATAATATAGGTTATCAGCAAATATTTAATTTTCTAGGCGGCTATTTAATTTTTTATTTTTTTATTTTTGTAATTTGTATTACTTCTGCATGTTTCAATAGGTATCAATCGACATCCAATTGCTTTCAAGCTGCGAATGTAAACAACTTTATATTCAGTCAATATAAAAATATTACATAAGAAACCGAAAATATATTAGCACTATTATTTATAGCTTTATATTGACATTGTTAATACTTCATAAAATAAAAATATGTAAATTAAAACTTTAAACGCTTTAGCTATGCCAAAGTTTGAATGCGTTTCATGAAATCATTGGTGGGCTTCAAATATTGAGTTGCCACTTTCCGGTGTATTTTACTTTTTACACAAAACACCTTTATATAGCAGTAATTTGACTATAATACTCCACAGCGGTCGAAAACTTTAGCAGCTGCGCTTAATATTTTAAACAGCAGCTTTTTAAGCTTTCACCTTAAAGTTGATCATTTCATTAATTTTCGTGAATAAATTCGAATTATATGACAAGTTTTAATTTGTCCTCAAATGAGACAAATAATGTTTTTGTTTGAGTTTGGTCTTTTGGTATTCTCTTATAAACAGTATTAAATAAATTTACTAAACACTTGATTTCATGAAAGCTCTTTATAAAATCACTTACAACCCGACGTTGGTGAGAAAGCAACCCAAAAACGCTAAATATTGCTTAATTGCTATTATTCATTTATAAAAATAAAACTGTTAATAAAAATTTGTTTTTTGATACGTTACACTTAAACTCAATTTGTTTTTTAATTAATTAAATATTAAATAGTGCGCATCTCAGAACGCTTTCTTTGTATACGTATCACTAATCCGCAATCTCATAACCTTACGTAGTCAAAATACTTACTCACAAGTTTTACTCTTCATTCCCACAAACCAACGTCGGGTTTAAGAAGTTAAATACTCAAAAGTCACAAGAGCAAAACATAACCTATTTGATACTCTCGAAACTATAAGTCTATTTCTGTTTGACTCGTAGATGCTATTGAATTTGTATGCCACGTAATATCCAATACATTGTCTTGTAGATTACGGTTGGTTTCCAGTTTTAGCTGGGCTACCACACTCAATTCCTACTCTCATGCTGTTTATACAACAAGGCATAAGTGAGCTGCGGTAACCCAGCCATAGCCATGAGGAGCTCTGGGTCACGCCATTAACTGTGAGAAGAAGCCTTCTTGAGGGCACCTTGTCGGATCGGGTAAAACGCTTCAGGGTTGCTATGAAACCCTGTGTTGTTTTTGTTGTTGGATGAGTGACTAACAATTATACAACGATGTATGATATGAAGGTATGCATTTGGAGCATTTTTTGTTTGTGTCTTACTTTTCGGTAAGCAAAGCATTATTTGAAAGCAGTTTTAAAGCACAATTTGTTCATGAGTTAAATATGTAGTTACAGGTTGAATTAGATTTCAATGGCAGTGTTTCAATATAAATTCTAAATTAGTTAATATATTTGTGAAATAGTATGCATTGTGTTTTATTGATAATTTGTAAAATGATGGTTTCAAATTAGCCAATTGTAAATTCAAAATTATTGCCATGGAAATTTAGTTTCTGGAATCGTTTAATATTATTACTATCTTGCAATTAAAGCCTATTTTAAATAATTTCGTAAAGAATTTAGCTAAATGGGTAAACTATAGGCAAACTATTTCATTAATTTGAAAGACAGAATTACATGAAAGATTTAGTAAAACTTATCTCATTGGACATACATAATGCACTCCACAAATTTAAAGGCAATTAAATACTATTTACTGATCGAGTAATTAGTTGATTACATTTGATCTAGTTCGCCGATTACAAACATAATTTCTGTGATAACTCTTCATCTCACTAGAATTTTATATTGAAATTGCCAGAGGAAGCGAAGGTATATGAAAATTGTGATATATCAAATAAACAAAAATAATTTTTTTTTTCGAATAACTCCGTAAGCATTACGAATGCAGCGGGGATTATTGCGAATTTCAGATGGATAATTTAAATATTCACCCTGTTTCTATTACTACTACTTAATTTGTGGTGAAACATGGTAAATGTATTAGCGTGGTCGAAATAAATTTCATAGATGACAGATGGTGGTATGTCTTTCCTCTACCAGGATGCTGTTGACTATTGCTTGTTTACACTCGCAGATGAAGTGGAACTATATATGCATACATATTAAATTGAAATTTAGTTGTTTAATAATTTAATTATTTTTTTTTTACAACAAATTTTGAATAACCAAAAAACAATTATTTATAATTTTTTATGCTCTAATTTGTATCAATTGTATTTTGTTTACTTTTATACTCAATTCGCTTCGTATATTTTTCATTTTAAATTTTATAGTTTTTTTTTTTTTTGTTTGCAATCACATGTATAAATTTCAATAATAAATTATGACAATCGATTCGAAATCACAACTAAAATATAACTGTATGCTTTAAGTCATGGAATCTAACTGTAAAAAATAGTAATATGTAATAAAAGAAATGTATGAATTTAAAGTAAAATTGGATTTGAAATAAAAATATAGCTGGAATAAAGGAAAAATCGGTATCCGTCTACAGGTACCTGTTGTAAGACTGATTTCCATAGCCCTCTGACGATGACCCAAGACCTTAAATTGGGGCAGAGATACCTCACTCGAAACACCAACCGAGTTTGGACCTTCATTCCACTTATAACGAATGTCACGCATTGTATAGCCGACTGTTTGTTTAGTAATTTTTTTGTTTTTGTAGTTTTTTTTTTTTAGTATTTGTCAAACGAGTAAGTCGTGTGTCATGTGGTCGTACGAATGAATGCATAACACGATTGTTTTATGAGATTTGTATTTTGTGCGATATCGTCCATTAGTTCGTGTGTATGTACATTAGCATTGCGATGATGAGAGCGACATACAGTTAATATGATTTGTGACATTAAAAAAAACGTATATTTCATTATTCAAACATGAGAGTGAATTTGAGTATCAAGTGATTTGTTAATATTATTATATTTCATACATCGAGTATCAAATTAATATTTATATAAAAATTAATATTATTAAAAAAAAGTGTTTTAATGTAGTTTGGAGGTATAGTATGCGAATGATTTTTATTTTGTTCGTTAAGTTGTAGTTCCATAATGTGGTCAAAATGTTTTTGGGTTTGAGTTTTGTTGGTTCGTTTCAGTGGTCATTGTTATTTGGTAAAGATTGAAAAAATATGCATAAACAAAGAATAAGTTGGTGAGACTATTAACAAGTTCGTAGCAGGTTTTCATACTATGTATATTTATATTTATATATAATTATATATTAAAACAAAAAAGCCTTGCTATACTTGTATGCTAACAGTTATGCTTGCACCTAAGCGAACTTCGTGCGTCTTATTCCATTCGCTTATAAAAGGATTACCAACGTTAGTAGTAGTTCTATGAGCTAAATAAACCAAAATATATATACACACTTTTATAATATAATATATATATATTCACACTTTTGGCTCTTACATTTCTTATACATAATCTACTATTGGTTAATTGACAATCAATCTAACTTGATTTGAAATGTTCTAAATACACTAAGCAACAATTTAAAAATCCAAAACGAAGCACTCTGATTTTATAATAATAACAACAATATTTAAGTCCAAGAAAAATCGGTAGGCCTATGTGTCTTTCTTTGAAATGAAAAAAGGTTCTTTCTAAATGCATGTTATACATATTCCTATACTTTTTTAAACAGCTTACGTAGTGCTAAAAAATCTGCAATAGCCTTTATCTATTGTCGCGTACCACACATTATATGCTGTCTTGATAGCACTTTACCTTTAACTTGACGAATTCCGCATCACACCGAGGAAGATAGACCTCTTAGACATATGGAATCGAAAACAGTTGTAGCTGGTTACAAGCTTGCTGACTAACCACATTAATATTATTACTGCTCTTCAATATCTACTGTTGACATCAATTATCCATAAGATAATCACGCAAAGAGTCCCTTTGTTCTTGGTTTGACAGAATAATGATGTGCAAAACGTTAAAAAAATTGTATTGACAATTGCACCTATTAACACGAAAAAACGACCGAAACTTTAATAGCCTAAATTTAAAAACGTAACCGTCCAACGGTTCGAAAGGAAAAGGGATCATTTATGAAAATCTTTAAATAGATGATCGGTTATATGTTGACAGCTATATGCTATTGTGATCCGATAACGGTGATTCAGACAAAAAGTATCCAAATTTTCAGATATTTCGAAAACTAACGGACTAACATTATCGCGTATACGCTTTCGCTGGTCCTCAGTGTGTATTGTTTTCTTTTCTTCTTAAATTTCTTTTAATTTTCAGACCTACCTTACTTAAGACATGAATACTCTTTTTTTTCAATTTGCTTTCAAATGCCCAGTCAACTTGCGATAAACAAAAATTTATTTAGGATTTTCCATAAGTCTAGATCTCAAAACTTTTCAGCGGCTTTTGGTATAGCGTGATCTTTAGATAAGTTAAGTCAGTTAATTAAATGAAGATTTAATATAACGTAATTTACACTTCGGAAATAAATTTATTGTTGCTTAGTGTCAATAAAAAAAAAAGATATACGAAACTAACAGGATAAACTCCATTTCTAAGGCAGTTATAATATTATATTAAATTGATAGACTTCTGCAACTCAGAGTTGCTATAGTGGGTGATTCGTTGGGGGTTAATTCACTTCCTAACAATATTTGTAGACATTATTAATATAATATTTGTATTGCAAATTGAAGTTTTACAACTTAACTTAAGTGTACCAAGTGTTTATAGAAATATACTTGTAGGTACGGTACGAGTATAATATTCGGCAAACTTTAATAACTATCCTGCCAATATTAATTTATATAATACTTATGTTTAAATAAAGTATGTATATATATATGTATATATGCAAGTGCTAAAGGTAATTTCACTTTTTACAAATATATTTATAAATTAAGTATTTATTATTCGTTATACCTTGCCTGTAATTAATTATTAGTTAGATATATAATATATGTACAAATATTCGCAGCAAAAAATTCAATTGCATTGAGTTGTAAGGCGGTCGAAAGTAATCAGCAGAAAATATACATATACTTCAACGAATATTCGGTAGAGGCGATAGTAGAGGCGATAGATTACGTAGAAAAATTGTTGTTGTAGCGCGTGTAGTAGGTAGGTACGAGTATATACATATATGTAGGTGTTCGCTTATTTCATAATTTCAAAATCCAGCTGTGTTTTTTAATACAAGTTTTACCTGATCGTGAGCGTGGTAATTAGTGTGTGTGCCTATGCTTAGTCTGTGTGTGTGTATTTGTGCACTGGATATATAGCGATAGCTTCAGAAGATTGAATTTGTAAGCAATTTTTCGTTGGTGTTATTTTAATTATTCCTATACAATATATTATATATAGATATAGATATATATATATATATATATGTATTTATTATTAGTTTTTTAGCGGTTGCATTTATTAAAAATATGGTAAATTTGCGAGCGGCAGCACTACTTGCTTTTTACATTTTTGAATTTTTGCAAATAGATTTATTCCTTTTGTTGATGGTATATTCACAGTTTGGTTTTTCGCTTATGTATTTACAAACCAAAGAAAAAAATGATACCAAGCCTGCCCAAGCAATTGCGAATCCGTAGTTGTATTTATATACTAACTATTTAGGTTTTGACATTTTATAAACTTTCACTGCATAAGACACTCAAATGGTGGGTTTTGAAATAAAAGACTGAGACACTTATATTTCGGTGAGCCAAATTTAAAATTTTGTTGGCTTGAACTAATTGAAAATAAAAGAGTACAACCTAACTTCATTGATGGATTTACTTGTTGTTATTGGTCAATTTTATCCTGCTGCGATTTGCACCTATCCGAATAAATTAAACACAAAAATATACTAACAAAGTAAAAACAAGTGCAATATCGACTAAAAATCAATTACGAATTCTCAAATTACACTAAATAAAATTATCGACAACAATTTATAATAAAAGATCATTTTTATTTAAAAAAAAAAAACAAAAACAAAAAAAAAAGTTTTTAAATGGGACAACACACGGTTTATTTAAATTTGGTTAGTAATACGAAAATAAAAATTTATACAAAACTAAATCACATTAAGGAATTTTTAAGAATTTATAATTAGAGTAAGAGAGATAGAGAGACAGTAAGAGAGCGAGAGATAGAATTTGGAGAACGAAGTAAATAGTGTGAGAGTAGAGTTGCATTGCGAGTAAACACAAAATTGGTGAATGGCAAAATTGATTATGTGGAATCAGTAGGCGCATAATGTTAATTTGACGAGTAACGGTTATTATTTTAAGTCTGCTGAATGTGCGTAAATCGGTTTCCTTTTTAATTAGTTATTCTATATCGTGTTTTTCTGTTTAATACATTGTGATTTTAAAATTAATATTCATTATTTCTGTATAAAATTTCATACTATTTTCTTTTCCGATAAACATGTTATGTATATTTATATATAGTTATAAATAATAATAATTTTATTTTAAGATCTCCAATTTTAAAAATTACTATAATGAACCGTAGATATATGGCCTTGAGTTTGTATATTTTGCACTGACATTCGTTAACATTTTGACGCAATAAGCTGATTATATTCTCAACTGACCAGCTGTCCGATTAAAGCTTTCCAATAACTGGTACAGAACTATTGGGCTTCGCATAGAAGACCTACTTCTTTCGCTAAACAGAGAGAGTCTGAGCTGGACATACCACTTGTATATATAAACTAAGTTAAATTTATTTTAAAGAATTTGAGAAGATTTTAGCAGAATCAATGAATGATCGTAAAATGCTATTATCTAAAGTTGCGCTTTCAGAATTTTTGTGACCCCTGAATTCTTTGCATAAACTGTGCCATATTTTTCAATTGTTTGATATACACTTTATAATGTGAAACTTTTCGAATACTTCATGGTGAGTAGCATAACTCGTACTTCGGGGTATGAACTCCCTAGAAAAAGGGTCCTCCGATTAGTATTAAAATGGCGGTCCGGCAAATTTCCCAACCACAGATTAATTTTATGTGTATCTGTTCTTTAGTATGTGACAAATGGGAGACTGTGTTTTGAGAATTTTTTCATTTAAAAGTTTTGAGATAGAAGCCGCCACAAAAAAATTTGGCTTTTCTTAAGAAGCAATAAAAAATATTAATATAGCCTATAATTTATTTAACTTAGAATTTTTTAGAATATCTATACTCCCACAAATCAAACTAATGCTGAAAAAAAATATCTATTTTTTTACTCTCCATTCAAAAGCACGATTAATTAAACTATTAAACAAATATTTAAAATACAATACGTTTTATCAAAATGCCGTTATTGTATTAAAAGGCAACACCGATCCTTCCGATTCCGCACAACAATTTTGCACAGAGCGCCACATATGTATGTATGTATTGACGTATATATTAAAACAGCATATGGATGTAAGTGAAATGAGTAACACACTTAAATGCAGATATATGTAATGCTATATGCAATATTCATATATATAAAGAAGTTGATGTGAGAGCAACGAAAAGATTTACATAAAAATGGAACATAGGGATGTGTACATGTCGGTGTACGTCGAAACCAATGAAAGAGCGATTGACAATAATGAAAAATATACAAGTTTAAAAATGTTTAAGTGAATATGCTTAACAAAGATTTCCATAAAAATGTAAATGTTCTTAAATTAGTATTTGTTCTTCTTAACTGGTGAACGTACATACACATGATGTACATATGTATGTTTGGGGTGTATGACATATGGGTTTGAACTGGTTGATGCATAGAAATAACATGTGACATGAAGATGCAAAAATGTATATGAGTATATATGCGAGTGAAACATATGAACGCATGAAAAAATTGTAAAAAAATTAATATTTGTATGTATGTATGATAGTGATGATATGAGTTTGTGATTGTGATTTGGGAGTGATTTGTGCTGAAATTGTACATATATTTATATATATGTATGTTTCTTAAACACAGTATCAACTGAATACAATAAAAAACGAATCAAAGAGTTCTGATCTTGCCGTGTATATGTGTGTGTTGTGTCGTAATTGTACAAAAAACACAATTGTCTAATGTTTGCATTGTTTATTTGGAAAAAATTTTGTTACGAACAAAATGAAATTCATATATTAAATTGAATGCTTGAATATTTGAGTTGGTATGTTTCATTTAATTGTTTTTATTTTTTATGTTTTTTTTTTTTTTGTTTTATATTTAGTTTAATATTTGTTGTTTTGTTTGGGGTACCTGTGGTTAGGTTTATTTCGGTCGCCCTCTGCCTGTGTCCCAAAACGCGGAACTGCGGTAGTTCGACCTCACTGCTCATGCCAACACTACTCAGTCCATCTCTCCAGAAGTAACGGATATCTCGCATCGTGTAACCGACTTTATATTACAAAATAATATACATATATATATACAAAAAGACGTCATTTCCCAATTTGTTTTTGGTCAATTCAATTTTTTTAAAGTGTATTTGTTTACAACGATTTAACTTTAGTTTTGTGGTTATAATATGAAAATTTGTTTAAATATTTTTCATGATTTCGTTTGACAAAAATAAAACTTATCTAGATTTTTTATATGGCTTAAGTACTGATTACGAATAAAATGATTGAACGTTTGATCGTGATATTTGAATAATGTTCGAATTGAAAGTGAGAAATGTAATAAAATATGACAAACTCAACGTAAGCGATAATTAAACATTGGTATGTATCAAGTAGTGAAGTTTTTAATATGCTTGATTAGAGCTCCGTTTTCAACCTTCGAAGCACAAAAATAAAGAAAATTGTAAATAAAGCGTAATCGAATGGAAATATATTTATCTGATGAAGTGCACTTACATGCTTTGGAAACGTTCAGACACTCAACTATAATTGGATTGTGAATTGGGTAACGTGTATAACACATTATATGGATTTATGCTCGTTTATTAAATTATACGATAAACCTATGTATAATATAAAATTTCACAACTTGTTTCTTTTTGATTGCCTAAAACGTTTTCTATATGCTAAGAAATGAAAAAAGTTATTTTTTATCCAATAGTTATAAACTCGTTCGAAACTTTCCTACATTCGCTTATCTAAGTTTACTTTCAAACTCTATATTTCAACAATGTTATAAGTGAAGTATATTTAAAGATATTACAAGAAAAATAAATAAAATGTAATAAAACACCACTACGCAGTTTTATTTTTTTTCTTTATTCGTCTTTGATTTAAATTATCTGATAAACGCAATGTTAAAACTCAGACTGATTGGTCGTCGCCTTGAGATTTTGACTTTACATCCACTTAAAATTAACTTTCGTAACGTTACTTAGGCATTAGCAAGTTGGACTGAAACAGCTGCGAGTTATAAAGTAGGCGCACATCGAATTTTAATAAAGCACGTTCTGATTTCCCAAAAACAACTACCACAGGACATAACATAACAGAAGTCCACGAAGACTTAATTGGCGTATTTTTCAGTCAGGTCAAGTGGTTAGAGACAAAGGGAGGCTATGTTGGGTTAAATTTTGTTTTTGATGCACTAAGAACTTATCAGAACGGCATCTTCTATGAAGATTTCTGAAAAATTCATAACATTTATACCAAACCATCAAAAAACGCGGTTATAAATTTCATCCTGGTTGGTTCTGAGATAGAGTACTCTGGGTTAAACAAATTTTAATAATTTTCGTATATTAAAAAAACACTTATTTTTTGATGAAAAGTATTGCCGTTGTTGAGTGATATTGATTGACGATGAACAAAGTGAACTTTTGAATTGCTGATTGAATTGGAGGTATTTAATCATAATCGACAGGCAGTCGAGCCTGTTACAGCCTGCTGGCAAAGATCATCAATTATTTCGAATAGGAAAAAGCCACCAACAACGAGAGCCATAATCGCGTGTCAAAAATTCATTTTATGATCAGGACCTTAAGTCTTTGCCGTGCCCACACAATGCTTCAAATTTGACCTCAATGAAGTTTTTGTGTTCTGAGATCTCAAAAGGAAACAAATTTTCAGTGATAAGGCAACCGCCGAGTCTGAGTCTTTTGAAGTAAAATAAAAATATGACAACAAAGTCGCAAAAGTTAGAAGATCATTCTTATCGGTATATAACCTTCAATAGAGACTATAAAGAAATGGAATTTTATTTAAAAAAAAAACTTAGTTTCTTTAAAACAACACTAACCTTTTCTTAAACAAGGTAATATTTAGGTAGTTTCTCAGTATTCATAATATTTTCGAAGTGTATTAATAGGGTGAAAGTGTTTTCATTTAAGTCACTCAGGTCTATCCTAAGTTAAATAACTAAAAGTACCAAATGAATGCGCAATAAATAAGAAATGTTCGCAATAATGATTAAGTGTCCTCCCAGATGCCTGTGCTATCTATTGTTAATGCTACAGCTACAGATATTTTTAAAGAAATGAACTAACAAGCTTATTATTTCATATTATATGAATGTTTGTTAAAAATATGTTAGCTGATAAGTTAATTATGTAAATGTTACATATACAAGTATAACTATATTTACTTGTGCTTTGCAATATCTGTCTACTGCATTTAAATTATTTGTACTCTTTTAGTTTATGTGCTAGCACAATCACAAAATAGCTGCAAAAACTTTACTTTATCTTCTATATCTATAGAAAAGGCATCTGAATATTCCTTAGCAAATCTCCTTCTGTCATCACAATTGAAGGAAAGAAGGCGACCGAAAACCAACCAATTGCAATACATTACTTTCTCTTCTTATTGATTTTATTTATTCACTATCTCGCTAAGTACTGTAAGTTACTTTTTTGTGACAGCAAGTTTCAAGAATTTGTATTTTATGCTAAAAGAATTCAAATAAAATGCAAAATTTCGCTAAAAGATCTTTGTAATGAATTTGAAGACTGCGATTGGTTGTTGGATAGTTGCTAAAGTGAAGATGGCAGTTTCATAAAGAGCGCTGATTTTGAATGTATTTGTAATTAAACTGTTTCAAGTGAGGAATATTTGTACTAACTCAATTAAATGCTGATGTTTAAGGTTTGGGTAATTGAAAATAGAAAAATTTTATTAACAAATTGAAAAAAGTATAATAAAAAAATATTACTAATTTTGCCTGAAAAATTATAAATAATTCAAATATTTTTTAACGTAAACCTATCGTAAAATAAATAGAAGTTGTGCTACTTTTTTAATCCGATATTGACAGACCATAACCCGCATTATTAACTTCATTGTTGCAATTTTAGTATTACTAAGCTATCATTATTAAATAAATATAAAATTAGTATCGTTCATAATTTGGTAAGTTGACAGTTCTGAAATTTCAAAATACTTTGAGTGAAAAAATACTTTTATTATATAAAGAATCTTGATCATCATTTTGGAATGAAGCTAATACGTTGAATTTCCTAAAACGATGGTGTTTGTTATTGTCAGCATACTAATTAAGGAAATAGTATATTTAAAAAATGTTTTAGGTTTCCAAAAAACTTTTCTTTTTTTTTTGTAATTTAGATGTCTTGTAGAATTACATGAACGAAATATTTTAATGAAATAGTTTTTAAGAGCATATTATTGTTTAATTACTTGCAATGCTAAAATTCCTAAACGCAGAAATTTGCTTTTTTAATTTCCCAGAAATTATGTTTCAAGCAAATAATTACCTTTATGTTTTCTTTTTTGTTTTAATAAATAAATTCGATTAACTACAATGGTAATAATCTCTCAATTAACAAAAAAAAAAACTGCCATACAAAAGTATTGTTTTGCAGAGCTTATCTAAAGTTTTAAAAGCAATGCAAAATCTACATTGAGCTTTCATAAATTTTGTGCATCCCCTTCTTAGGCAAAATATGGAGAAAACATATTAACTAAGAACTTGAAGTACTTTAATATGTTAATTGTTGACAATTTTATTCAGTCGATGCTCATAGAAACTAATTTTATGTTAATTCAACTAACCCTTTCTGTGACTTTTATAGTACCTCAATGCCACCGTTTTTATATTCCAAGTTATTCGACAAGCTTTAAAACTTTACAAATTTCATTTTATAACAGTAAATAAACACTTTTATACGTAGAAATGTAATTATATATATCGTGGAATACGTTTAATGTGCTGCTAATGAAATAAGTTTTGAATACAACTGCTTATAAAGCGCATAAGCTTTCACTAAAAGCTTGTCTAAATAAAGTTTGCTGGTTTTTTTTTTATTTTAATTAATTTTTTTCCTTGAATTCTTATTCGTACATATAACTTGGAATATCGAAAATTATAAGTCCACATACTATAAACTAAATTTCCTGAATACTTTTTCATATTGGATTCATTTTATTTTAACAAGGACTTATATTTTATACAATCTTAAGAGAATTTAGTTAAAAGTTATTGTAAATAAACTTTATGGTATATAGTACTTGTATAATATATTATGATACTATTACCACCACTAGTCACATACACTTAAAAATAAGCAAATAACCTTATAATTAAGGTTATTAATAAGATTAATATACATATGTGAATAATAATTGAATAATTACTTACAGCTTTCGATTTCTATGTGACACAACTGTCGATCCATAGGAAAGTATTGTAGATTCATTGGACACGATGCAGTAATTGTTAATCTGTAAGCATATATCCGGCAAGGAAATTTTTCAAAAAATACAAAATATTAGAAAATGGCAAAAATAAGATTTGTATACATCAAATTATTTATTGTTGGGGCAAATCTGTTACATAAATATTGGAAATAAAAATGTAAAGCACAATGATTTTTAAGCTTTGTAACATACAAACAAACTACTTGAAGGATATTCAGACTTGTTCGAAATGTTTGATTCTTTACTTTATGTTTTCGCTGAAGGATTTTGTTGTAAAATTATTCAGTTTTTTGTTGCCTTAAAAATCGAAAAAAAAATAAATGCAGTGTCTTTTAGCGATAAGCAGTTTTGGATGAGCAAGGAAATTAATTATCGAGTGAATAAAAATTCCCCGTCCAATCAAATGTAGTCTCGAAGCATTCAGGCCGGTCAAAGCAAAAAACATACTTTACTATCAAGTCTTATGCTGATTAAGATCCCGTCTAATATTTTTTTTATTTCAGATAGCACGAGTTCTTAAAATTAAAGCCGTCTATAGAAGCGCTCTTGAAAAGCCAGTTCCCAAAATTGGCTCAGTGGTAGCCATCATCATTTGTAGCAAACAGTCAATGAAAAAAATGTTATACACCTAAATACGTGTTTAATAAGTTCAGATCCCAGGCCGAAACTCGATTTTTTTTTACTCTCATAATAAAAAGTCAAATTATATTTACTTACGGTTCCGATAAATGAGCAATTTTTTAAGGGAAAAAAGAAGAGTGCGAAATTTCAGTTCGATGTCTAAAACACTGAGAGTCTAATTCGCGTATATACAGACAGACGGATATGGCTAAATCAACTCAGCTCATTATTTATATAGGTATATACGTTAAGGTCCACGTTTTCTTTACTTTATTTACCTTACCAAAAAGTACAAGTAAATCTCCGTGGAAAGATTATCTCGTTTCAAGTGCTTTTTCAGTAAGGAAATTACAAGTAGCATTAAATATCTATTGCTTTTTAATACTATAGATACATTTTCCAGATACATTTCGAATAAAAAAGATAACATGGTCTGAATATCCCTTTTCTTATCTAAAGCATTTAAATGTTCTTATTTTATTTCCTTAATATTAATAATTACTTCCATATACAAACTTAAAGGGGAAATTGTAAAGTCAGCGAGTTCAATTGGATTGTTAAAATAGAATTTTACTGTTTACAATATGTATATCAAAATGTGTGTTTCGCATCTTTGTTAGATTGCGGCATATAAGTAATGTATTGATAATCTAATGGGCACTAATTCGTAACTAATTACATATTTGAATATTTTCCAATATACATATTTGTGAGTTATGCTGGCAAGCTGCACTAAGCTAAGTATAAATTTAAATGAAAATATAAATTAAGTTTTGCAAATTTTCAACTACTTTTTATAAAATAATGCAGTCTGCTCTAGTTTTTCAAAATACATAATCTTTATATAATATTTTTTTGCGTGCTTATTTTCGCATACTTCATATATTGGTAAGTGTTTATATGCATATATATTTATATATATAACTGTATATATTAATATATATTATAACTAATACTTTTGTATGCAAATAAAACTAAACAATGCATAATTACAAAGACACACACACAAGTGTATGCAGGTATTCATATTGCATTGACAATACCTTGCTTTCTGCTTCGTCTTTCTTTGTTGGTTCGTTTAGGGTGGGTATGTATATTTACATAAGATTATTATATGAGCATAGAGTATGTGACAAGCATTTATTAACGAACGACTTACTTACACGCCATCACCTCTTTGCTCTACAACACTAGCTCACGCTCACTGCATGTCCTCTTTGCATTTGCCAAACCATGCAATTACATGTGCATTTCCTTTGTTGTGGCGAATTCCTTCAAATTTGCATTTTGCTCCTTGCTTTTGTGTATTTAAATTATTTCATTTTGATTTTTTTTTTTGTGGTTTTCTTAGTTTTTGGACAGATTCTTGTTTAAAGGTAGTAGAAAATATTTCTCCAGAGAGTGCAAACCTTTTAACGGTGTAAAATACACTGCACACTGTGTTTTTTTTCCTTCTAGCTTTAATTTAACCTTTTTCTACTTTATTGTATATCTTTTGTTGTACAAAGTGCATATTCAATTTTTGTAATGAGTTAGTGTAATGTGTGATAGGTTTTCAAGTACAATATTAAAAATTCAAGCTAAGTACTTCATGCGCTATGTCTCTTCCTGCGACTGTTTCAGCTCTTCGATGGTTTTAGCATTAATGTTTTAGTTCATTCTATTGAGAGTACAATAATGTTGCTGTTTAATAGCTGATTTTCTTATTTTTGATTTCTAGTATAAACGAATCTAATATATAAAACACGCCGGAAATCACTTTTGCGATTTTAGAAAATATTTCCCAAGCAAGGTAAACCGGTAATATTATATTTTTCCATATTCTTAATGAGCTCAATTCCTAGATTAAGTTAACCTTTCTGAATCTATGAGATTCAGTACTGCAAAAGGATTAAAAGTTGGGTACACAAGGTACCTATGTAAATGCAATCATATTAAATACCACCATAATGATGCTCATCTTTTTTTTAGTAAATCACTACTAAACATCGCTCAACTAACCTAAGTTTGAGAAACATTTTGATGTGAGGGTCTTGAGGTAATCTTGCTTATAAATATAGCTTCCTCTTTCCAAATACAACCTCTTCTGTTTCTTTGCATTCTTTCCTTCTGTTCCTATAAAACCAGATATCAAAATAAGTTTAATGAGTTCCCTTTTGCATAATAACCAAAATTATACCGCTACCTCTCGGTATGAAAAACAGGGTCATACTCAATGAAATTGAACCAAATTTCTATATTGAACTAAAAACAGAAGAATACTAATACTGATTATTTTTGTTATCTAAGCTTAAATTAAGTACAGATATGAAAATTTCGCTCTCATTTCAACTGAATTTAGAAGACTTATGTTTGTTACTTGGCATAATAAAGGCTTCCTAAATTGCATGGTTCATTATTCTGATCATGAAAGGGTTGCCTTAACTTCACTTTCAAGGCACAGCGCATGAAAACAGTACTAACCATTATTTCCAAATTTTAACCCTATACATCACATAAAATTATATTGATAATATCTATACCTTATTTAGTATAAATACATATATGTATATAAGACGATTTACTTTTGCCAATTGAACTCACTTCAAATGAAATTATGTGCCCATTTTGATCATATACAACAATAACTGAAGTGAAATTATAAAGGAAACACATAGAACGACACTTAGTAAGTATTAATACATATATATGTATGAATATATATACAAAGAAAAACCAAAATTTGTACACCGAACAAGACAGCAATAAATATATTAATATTTTTGTTATTATTTTTTTTTTTTTGGTATTCTTTTTTGCTTCAGTTTGTTTCAAGAAAATCACACGACATTTATTTAAAATGAAAATGTATTCATATCTGATTTTTTTTGTTTTAGAAAGATGAATTATAAAAATTCGTTTTCTGTAAGAAATAGTTAGAAATTTAATTTGTTTTGTTACCTAATACTTCGTGTTATTGATCCAGAATGATGAACACGTATGAATTCATTACTTGTTGTTGCAATATGAAAATATGATTGTTTTTCATTTACAAAAAAGGTGTCAGGTACCCAAATATTTTTTATGAACTCAGATCCAACCGATAGTGTTTCTACACCAGGCCGTTTTCTATACGCTAAACGAGGATCGGTCCAAAATTGACGAAAGTAAAAATCCAATGTAAAGTCCTGATAAAATTTCATTGTTATGTTTTTTTGCGAATATCCAATTTGCAATTTCGAGCGATTTAGATGATATTTAAGTGATTTTGTTTGCCATTTCAGGTACAGTAAATAATACGACAGTTGTTGTTGGTGGTTTACATGGACGTGGCCGAGTTGACATAGCGGTAGTAGTTAATGTGCCGATTTTGCGTAGAACCAGTTAGATTGGAAAGAGGGAAAAAGTTTTTGCAAATTTTGCAAAAAATATGAACAAAGAAAACTTTAATTAGTATTATATGCATAAAGCTAGAATAATTTTAAGTTTCTTTCTGTATTAAGAGTAGTAAAAGCAAAACTGTTCTAATAAAAATTGTGTTAAATATCGAACAAACCATAAAAAGAATTTTAAATCATACATATAAAGGCTACACGTTACAAATATAGAAAAAACTTTCAAGCCAAATAAATAATCAGTGAAATCTAAATCCAGCGTAACCATAAAAATTAAAAATTAACAGTAAAAAGCATGCCATTATGCTCAAACTATTTAATATATGAATTAAATTTAAATAGCCACTTTATAGAATGAGGTCATCTAATTTTTAAAATATTTTTATTTTTATTTTTATTTATATGAGAATGAAACAATTTTCAAAATTCCGTGCAACGGTACATGCATGATATCGCACAAGAATAAAAGAGAACATAATGGAGAAGCCCAACAAAGCAAGCAAGCATAATTAATGAGTTTGCTAATGTTCGTAAATTTATTACAAATATGAGAAACCTTTAATCTCATTTCTAGAAATAGTTGCATCTGGGAATTAACTGTAATTATATTTGTACATTTTGTGATCGTACGCTGCGTATAAAAGCTACAAATGATATTTTCTTATAAAAATACTTATGTAATAATTATTTTAAATTTACACGGTTTTAATGATATATGATTTAATCTTGTAAAAAATCGTTTTGACCAGTCGACTAGAAAAGGTACCCGATTTGTATTCCATATGCATTTTGCATTTTGTGTAATTCATAAATGTGGAAAGATATGTTTAGTTTTAGTGAGTAAGCAAGTGTAAAAATATACGAAATAAACAAAATGAAGATAAGTGTATACAAGTTTAAACGAAATTCTTTGGCGATCTAAGTTAGAACGTATTATACAACCAGAACCTTTAACATCACAAAATTATTCACTTTTTCTAAATGTATCCAAACATTAACCATTGTTTTAAGCATTTTTTGCATAAGATTCTATAATTTTTTAAATTTAATTGAATTTGATAAACCTTTTTGAGTAAGAAGATACTCAAGATTTGGCATTAGCTGTCAAAGTGCGAGGATGTGATTTCTGTAATTCTGTAAATCTACCCGGTAGGATGCAATGTTGGGAGTATTCTATCGAGTCTACGCAATTTTTTTCAATTAAAATATTTAAAGTTGTTAAACTTAAAATAAAAAATTTAAATATTTACGTTAAAGTTCTCCTCTACAAACTTTTCCCGCATGAAATATTTATAAAAAAATTAGTGTTAAGAATTTATACTTTAATAACTACGAACATCCTTTATTGGATGCTTTCCAAAGAAAATCAGATAAGTAAGTTGCTCGTGAAACTACAATAATTCGTGTTCTTACCTTAATTTCATAAACTAATTCATGAACATATTGAATATTTCGAGAAGAACTCATTTCCAGCTAATCGCATTTTCTAATCGACAAAAGTTAATGTTATAAATCAGACATTAAAAAGCCACTATTTCACCAATACAATTAGTTGCGAGTTTATAACTATTGCATTACGCACTCTTATCATAATCGTACCGTATTTGAGGCTTTTAGTTTTTTTAGTTTATTTTATACCGGTTGCATCGATCGATATACGAGAGGTCTTAATAGAAATGAGTTACTATATTTCTCTTTACATACAACAATTTTGTAATAATATAATATTAACGAAATTGATCTATGCATTGTACTAGTAAATAGAAAATATAACTAGCAAAATAATTTCTGATTATCCGATTAGCCAAATTTCATAAATATATATCAGTCAAGCTACCTTTACGATCTTAAATAGTTGCTTTTTCGTACAAGAAAGCAGTTTGGTGCTTGAGACTAGATAAATTAGTCCAGTTGGCTTTATGCCATAAACTTTGAGACATAAGACATATTAATGAAATTTGAACCACTATATGTAATGCTGCCAAACATGAGCGAAATTGATCGAGACAATCACCCAGACTACATAAACAAATTGCAAAATAAAGTTGCGCTGACTATGTATTCATTCGGTGAATCAAATGGCTGAAATTAGTTGAAAATTGTCCGAACCTTAAATATATCCGATATAATGTTTCTTCAATACCTTTACTTCTCACTATGATTATCGTTCCATAAATCATAGATTTGCTTTACATGCTGCCATATGCATGCATGTCGAATATATTGAATTTCGTTTCTCTCAAAAATATTGAGTAGAAATGTTTCGTTTAGCGTAATGTGAGACCACAAAAGTGATATTGTCCTTGTCCAGCCACTAATACTTGTATTACGAATAATATAATTTATGTTAGTTTTCTTGGTGTAAGGCATCTTGTAACCATATGGTAAAGTATCATTTTCTACCAAAATAGGCGCAATCAGTGAATAAATTCTTCCAATAGCAAACATAAGTTCATATGTCGGGTTTTCCACTAGAGATGATATGATTTTTAAGTATCGTTTAGGTCATTTTTAATATATCCTGATCAGTAATTTTTTTTCTTTTAATTCTGTTATGTTTACAATTTCATCATGGAAAGATATACGTAAGAACAACGTTTACAAATTATACATTTTTATTATAAAATAATATTTTTCCGATAATAATAATTTGAAGAAAATCCTCTTCTCCGATGAGGGCACTTTCAGCTGAGTGCGAAGAAAATCCACAAATTATTAATGAACAACCAGTACATTCACCTAAATTGACAGTTTGGTATGGTTTTTGGTCTGGGGAAAAAATCGGTACGTACTTCCTTCGAAAAGAAGCTGGCCACCACTACTGTCAATAGAGAGCGGTATAGATCGATGAAAACCAAATTTTTATGACCGCAAGTCGAAGAAGTTGACCTTAAAAATATCTGGTTCCAACCCACAGCACGTGCAACAATCGAATTATTGCGAGACAGTTTGGAGATTTCAAAAAATTGTGACATTGAATGGCCTTCAAGAACTTTTGATTCAATACCATTAGACTACTTCTTGTGGGGTCAATTGAAGTCATTGGTCTTTAGCAATAAACTCTTTTAAGCTTTAGAAGTCAATTTTGAAAGTGTTATTCATGACATACGACTTGAATTATTGGAAAAAGTACTGCAAAATTGTTTCATCGAATTCGTTCCTGCTAAAGAAATCGTGGAGGCCATTTGAATGATGTTATATTCAGAACTTAAATGTATCGATTGTACTTCACATTAAATAAAAAAACCTTTAAATTTCCCTAACAATTAATGTTTAATTTTTTTGTTTTAATCATATCACTCTTATTGGAAAACTCTAATTTCATAAACAACAAAAAAAATAAATAAATATAATATAAATATGGTAAACAAATATCCAATTATTAAAAATTGTGCCGTTCGTCAGCTACCAGAAAGTATATATTTTATTAGTGTAAGTGTTTCTATAACTCTTCTCTTTGTGGTAACCGCTTGCTATATTTACCTGCTGATTGCACAGCACAGTGTATAGTGCGATTACACAGTGTATACCTACAAGTTGGTCACTGCGTATAAGTAGTTTTTAATGAATAACGCATTGATATGTGCTATTTAGGTTAATTGTAAAATCTACATGTAAAATTTGATGATTTAACAAAATGTGAGCATATTAATTTTATAAAGCTTAACAATGATGTTTGCCAAATTATATACCAACTGTTATTTATGCAACTTTATTAATAAATCTATTTAGTTAGCAAATGTTCTTTTAAATATTTATCTTATGTATTCTTATTTATATTACATTATGTTAACGTATTTGAATAAATTTTATATTTCTTTATTTGGCATCAAACCATTTTTTTACGTATGTTACATTTTCACCTCATTGTTTACAGTTATGTACAATATATATGTACATAATATACATTAAACGAATTATTACACAATATACAATATAATATGTATATGGTAAATATTAATACAATAAATTGATTTGGTTTCCACTCGAGTTCCTTAATAATAGCGAAATGTAGACAAAATCAAATCAAACGAAACACAATCGCTTTTTAAATAATAAACAATTTCCTACCAAATTAAGCCATGTAAGAAATAAAGTTAGCAGTGTACGCAGTATTTAGCATAATCAAATTAGTACCTCTAGTAAAACAAATATACAATTTTGGGTTTTGTGGTGAATGACGGGATATATTCATAAGAATTTTGTAATTTTTAAGGCACAGTGTCATTTCTTGCCAACTACTGTACAAGAATGCCCGCATGTAAGTTTGTATGTACATTTGTTTATGTTTTTGTCTAATTACAATAAAAACATACTTCTACGAAACTTCATAACATAAAAAATGATAGCATTTTATTTTTCCGTTTAATGTGTGTGTGCTTTGCGTATTTTATTTTGCATGTAATTATGTTTTTAATCGCTAGTAAATGTTGGTGCGTTTATTTGTAATAATTCAGTCTATTTCTAGTATATAAGTTGGTAGGATACCGCAAAATACAGCCTTGTGTGTATTTATAATTATTCTGCATTTTTATATTTATCTATATATATATATATATACATATAGGTATTATAATTGCGCACAGCAAGCAAGAGTGAAATAAAACCTATAACCGTTAATGTCTGTATGTATGCCTTTTCAATGAATATTACGCACACACATACCTACGGTATACTCACATTAGACTTTAAAATAGAACAGCAATAAAATTGAATTTATAGCGCTATTTTATAAATGGAATAGCGTTATTAGCACCGTAGTGAGAGTTGCATAGGATGGGATATGATTCAAT